TGTGCTTTGTGGGGTTGGGAGCAGGGGAGGGGTCCGTTCTTGCGTTTGCATTTTACAGTATCCGGAGACTGGGAATTGTGTGATGTTGCGGCTGTGTAAAGTGTTCTTACTGCAACGAGAAGGGAATAATAATTCTTCATTACACCCCCCCAACCCCCCCTCTACAACTCATACCTTGCCTTCCTGAAGTATAGCGCCTTTGAGATAATTTACAGCAACTAAGGCAAAATGTTCTCAGTACAGCCCCAGGGTCAAGCTGAAATACAGTGAAATCTACTAAGGGTGCAGCCCTGGCATGTTGTGGCCTACAGCTCCCAGCATGCCCCAGCCAACATGCCTGGCTGGGGCATCCTGGGAAATGGATCGCTTTCTTCCTGTGTGAACATGTACTGCACCCTAAAAGACGAGACGAGACGAGGCGGCAGGGGATGCGGATAACTTCCATGCCCCATTGTGTCTAGGAAATGCTGGGAACCGGAGAACGTTTCTTCTCCCTAGATGTACACAAGGTTGTACAACTGCATGTTAAAGTCCTGCACCGAGGTCAGAGCTGCTCAGGAGATATTCCTGGCCACTCTTGCCCTGCTGTCACCATTTCCCCGCTGAACCCAGGAATCCCCTCTCGCGTGTCCCGCACAACCAGAGAAGCGTGAGGGAGAATGACTGGGCTGCTGGTCACCAGCGCATCTCGTGGCTTTGGTGGGGTCTGAACCCAGATCTTCCCGGCTGAGAAGTGCACCAGGGACAGGGATGTGGTTGACGGACCTTCCTGTGTGCAGCTCGAGGGCGCTTTGCGTGGATATCACAAGCACTTGTGTAAACCGCCTGTCCTCGTCCTCAGGAATGCCTGTTTGGTGAAGGGAGGAGCCCGGCTTTCCACGATGCCCGAAGCGGGAGCGTGCAGGGCTGCCCTAGCAGCCTGTCTTCCAATTCTTCCCAAAAGCATCGGAGAGAACCCTGCAATTTCGTATTGCACCGCTCGGGGCATCATCTGGATCCTGCCATTCTCCATGCTTCTGCCCCGGTCCGGTTTTAGGGGACTGCCTTCCTTGTGGGGTTGGATGCCCTTGCAGAGAGTTGGAACCTAAGCGTCCCAGAGAGCTTGGTCTAGTCCCAGGTCATTGTGAAGGTGGCTAGACCTCTTGAGGTTTCTGGGGCATGGCCCAGATTTTGAATGGGTGGAGGGCCTGTTTGAACACAGCTCAGAATGGATTTGAGGCGTGAATTATCTCGGCTGAATGAGGAGGATGGACTTAAAAGAACCATTGAGGGGGAAAAAACGTAGCTTTCATGAATTCTACTTGTAGAAGGGACTTCTTAGCTGACTTTGTCCAGAAAATTTCTGAGCATGTCATGACTTCACTAGGAAGCTGCCTCTTACCAAGTTAGGTCATTAACTTCACATCTCTAGAATGGTTCATTTTCCCCTCCTTCCACCTATGGAGAGAGAGAAAGCTTTCTTGGTCACATTATTGTGAATATCTTTGCATAGTATTTATATTCTGCCTTTCTTCCTCAGAAGGTATCCCTGACTTACAGGGTTCTCGTCTTCAGTTTCTCTCCACAACAACCCTGTGAGATAGGTCAGGCCGAGAGTCCATGACTGGCCCGGACAAGTGTCAGTGCGGCGTTGCGGTTAAGAGTTTGGGGCTGGGACACAGGAGATCCGTGTTTGAGTCCCCACTCAGCCATGGAGCCAACTGGGTAATGTTGGGCCAGTCATGGCCTCTCATCCCATCCTACCTCACAGGGCTGTTGTGGTGGGGACAAGTTTGAGAGCAGCAGGAGGAAAATGATGTCACCGTCCCGTCCCTGAGCTCTTTGCCAGAAAAAGTGGGATATAAATCTAATAAATAAAAAATAAACTAAGTGGGTGGTGGAGCAAGCGAGGAATGTACCTAGGGCAGGTTTCGTTCGAGGGCTGCCAGTTGCTGACCAGTGCCCCCTTTCCTGACATCCCCTGCATGCTTCCCCCCCTCTCTCCCGTGTTGTCATTCCTGACCCATTCTCCAGGCACAAAGCCCAACTTTCTCCACCCACATGGTGGGCCCAAAATATCTAGCCAACAGCTGACCTGCTCCTACTGTCTCCTGCTAGGCAGCTGTCATGCGTCCGTTCCCTTCCTCTTCCCCCATTCCACGCCCGCAGCCTTCACGTTCGGGAAGGCACGCTCGCACCCTGAGCGATCCTCTCTCTGGCTCTCTGAGGCTTTGGAGCACTTGGGCGCCCTTGAGCAAACCGGTAAGATGAGGCTCGGACAATGGCCCGGAAGTGAGAAGTGTCCAGAGAAAAGTTGTGTGTGTGTGTGTGTGTGTTTAAGGGTGTGCCGGTATGGCAAGATTTGGAACGTGTTTCTGGAGTAGAAATCTAGGCCAATTTTGCAAAAAGGAACGAACGGTCAGCCTGGGAATTAATCTGCTGGTGTGGAGGAGTAGGACGTGGGGCGGAGGGAAGGTGGTAGATAAATATTTTCCATTCCTGCCCAGTTGTAGATGGAGAAGACTTTTTATAGAGATGATAGAAGCTCCCTCTGTGATCTTGTAAGTCATTGGAAACTGGGACGTTACATCTGAGATGGAGGGAAGCCATGCAAGTCTGTGTAACTTTGTGAAAAAAAAAATTAAAAATATATCCCTCCCCAAATTATTCATTTTGGGATAGCAGAAACTTGAGCTGTGGAATTTTGGTGCACTTTGGGCAAAATCCTACACAAGTTTAGGTGTAAAAATGCCCTACAGTTCCCAGCCTTCCTCAGACTTCTTGTGGGCTGCCCTATTTACTGTCTTGAGATTTCATCGGGCCTTTTAAAATCTTTCTCTCTTTTGGTAAGTCTTGGAATGCATGAGGGATAGAAACTTGACTTAAAAACAAAAGTGGCTTATGGTTCTTAGGGAACTGCACCAAGAGTTGAACTCCGTGCAGTGCAAACACAGAGGTGTGGCAAAGTCAAACAGTTCAATGACGGGAGGTGCTTATGTATGAGAATGGGCAGGTCCCCCCCCCCCAAAAAAAAGCCCCTTGGTACTTTGCACCACTGTGAATTCCCTTGGAAAGAAGACTTGGACTAGAAAAGCTACAGCTCCTTTTTTCTGGGCAAGCAGAATTTTCCGCGGAAAAATGTTTTTGCGGGGAGGAAAAGGCACGGAGGGGAAATGCAATATTTCTCCCTCTGCATCAGGTTCTGATCAGAATCCGCCGGGTGTCACAAAGAGGTGTGGTCCACCCTGAACACACACTCGGCGTGATGCACACTTTGGCCCTCGGCTGCCACACCTTGGCCAGTCAGACTTCTGGTTTGCTCAGAGCGACGGGGGCTAGCATTCCTTTTCTGCCCGGCTGGACTGGCATGATTCTCGGGCCTCCACGGGTCCGGATTTCACACCCCGGATTCTTGATCCGAGCAGTCCCGAGGCAGCCTCTCTCCCCACTGGGAGCGTGAGAGCCGCTCTCCGGACTCTGCTTTGGCAGCTAGCCCGGGAGGGCCGCTTGCAGCCAGCTGGCCGTCGCATGTGCGTGCTCCTGGAGGGCAGGACGTCCAGCCTGTGTGCAGAGCCAAATGAATGAGGCCGGCAAGCCCTGGAGACGGATGGTGAAAGGGCCTGCACGGCGGCTGCCAAGGCTGCACATATGACTTTGGGAGGCTTCCGCGAGGGAGCAAGAGCTCTTGCCTTACTTGGCTGTTGGGGTGTGGGCACCGTTTCTTCCGTAAGCTGCTGCTTGTAACTTCAGATGGGAGTCCCCCGTCTTGGCCCGCACGGAGGAGGCGAAGAGCCGGAGCTCAGGGGTGGGACACGTGCGAGAAATCCAGGTGGAGGAATGAAATCAAACAGTGGGAGATGTACGGAGGATAAAAGCAAGCCCTTCTTCACACAGGCCTGAATTAAACTGTGGAATTGGCTTGCACAAGCCACAGTGACGGTTGCCAACTTGGGTGGCTTTAAAGGGGGACAGTGGAGCCAAGATCAGGGAACCAAGGTTCAGTTTGGATGCCGGGAAGTACTTCCTGACGGTTAGGACCCCGAGGGTGTGGAATGGGCTTCCCTGGGAGGTGGTTGAAGCCCCATCGGTGCGGGTGCTCAAGGATAGGCTGGACATGCACATGGTGGGCATGTCATGAGCAAAGCTGGTTGGAGCCGGGGGTCAGACTAGATGGCCCGGGAGGACCCTTCTGACTCGCTCTGTTTCTATGCTTGCTGGGGGAGCGGGCTGTTGAAAGCGACCAGTCACTCCAGTTTCAGAGGAGACATGAAATTGCTGGGGAAGATGCGTGGGTGTGTGCCGTTACATTTCGCTCCGCTTGTGAGCCTTGCACATCCATCTGGCTGGCACGACCTGAGCAAGATCGTGCCGTACTATTTTTACTTTTAATTTATTTCATTGAACTAATTTAAGCAGCCAAACGGTGATAAAACATCACTTAAAACGAACTCTGGTTTATAGCATAACATGGAAGCAGTTTCCTAAAACCCCAGTAATAATAAAAATATTGATGGGATGGATAAATCTTTGGTGTGAACGTAGCACAACTCTTTTTATGGCTGAGAAAGGAAACCCACAATTTTGCAGCAGATGGACCCTAGTCCTGATTCTGTATGTCCAGCAACTTCCCCATTAGTATCCTTACTTCATCCTTAGTATCCCAGCCATTTTCCTCAGGGGAGGAACCCCAGGTGGCTTAACGGAGCTCTATTTTATCCTCACAACAACCCTGTGAGGTAGGTTAGGCTGAGAATGAGTGACTGGTCCAAATTCACCCATTAAGCGTCATGGCTGAGTAGAGACTCAAACCCGTGTCTCCCAAGGTCCCCAGAGCCTCACTCTTTGATCCCAAGAGCTGAACTCAGTTTGACCGCAGCTCTCGAGAGCTGGTGGGTTGCATCTCGGTACTGGAATAAAATGCAGAGGTTTGGTCAGACTTCAAGAATGCCACTAAGCATCTCCTGTCACTTTTCTTTTCCCTGCAGGAAATGAAGCCGTGTTGGTTTTGCTGCTGCAAATGACCCGCCTTTCTGGAGAGCTGCTCCATGGACCCCTTACCTCCGGCCACCCCTCCGACCCAGAAGCCCACCCGTATCATCAAGCCCCGGCCCCCCACCAGGCCGCGGCCCTACCTGCCCCCCAGGCCAGACTCCGCCAGGCTGAGCTGTGACTTGTCCCCGTCTTTGTCCTCGGAGGGCTCTGTGGCTGAAACAGCAAGCAATGGGTGTCCCAGGATCACCGAGCCCTCTCGCAGCCCCCAGCGGCAGCTCCGAAAGCTGCAGAATTCGGGCGCCGTCCGCAAGATTGTGGTGCGCTTTGATCACGTCGGCTCGGAGAAGGGGGAAGCCAGGAAGCCGGCCCGACCGAGTTCAAACGGCAGCCAAGCACCCGGGCCTGTTGTGGAGAATGGGGCGGAGAAGATGGTGGAGGAGACGGAGATGTCAGACCGGTTGCGTAAGTTGCTCCAAGCCTGCCTCCTCCGTGGCTGGGTTGGGAACCTCAGGCCAGCAGGCCAAAACGGGGTTTCTGTCCTTTGGCGGCTGGATGAGCTCTCTGCAGTGAAAGAGCTTTGAGCTAAAAGGAGGCTGGTTTTCTGGGCCAGTCCTTTTCCAGTTACAACTGGATTGCGGCCCCAGAGAATCTCGGGGGAAAGAAGCAGAGCTAGGAGCAAGCGAGGCCTGATCCCAGCAAGGATTCGGTCGAGGCGCTGGCCCCGACGGAGGCCTCCACCTGTCTCCCTCTCTCCCCTTCTGCAGATCCTTCTGAGGAGCAGCCCGCCCCGTCCGTGGTGGAGCAGAACGGCGTAGAACCGGCCGCATCCTGCCGCTCGGGGTGCCCCTGCCTTTGCCATCAGCAGCGGCCCGGCATGGTCTTGGCCTGGGTGCCGGCCCGGTCGCGGCAGGCGGAGTGCGAGGACGGCGAGGAAGGGCCTGCTTCGGACCACTCGTCCTCGGCGGATGAGGGGGGCCCGCCCTTTCAGCACCTCCTGGTGGTCACGGCCCCGGCGGCCGGCCCCCCCTCGCCTGCCAGCGGCAGGGCCCCGCCATCCCGCCTTTCCTCCCGGAGCAAGAAGCCCCCCGACCCGCCTCCCTCGGCCAATGGGGACACAGACGGCGGCGTGGTGCTGACGGGGTACCGCTCCACCGCCGAGCCGCTGCCCCCGCGGTGCCCCCCGCTGATGCCCAAGCCACCCCGCCGCAGCAAGGGGGGGTCCCCGGCCTCTCTGGACGGCGAGGCCGTGCCCCCCGCCATCCCCCCCAAGGCCCCGGTGAAGCCACCCCGCAGCTCCCTGGGAACGTTGGCCTTCTCCCGCAGGAGCTCCCTGCAGTACCCGCTGGAGCTGAACCAGGCGCCGGGGGGCATCTCCCCCATCTCTTTGCGGGAGGGCCTGCTGTTGCCACCCCCTTCCCAGCCGCCCCCTCCCCCACCCACTTCCCAGACGCCCCCGCCCCTCCCTCCTTCGCAGCACCAGCCTCCCCCGCTGCCATCCTTTCCTCCCCCCACGGCCCCGACCCCGCCACCCCCCTCCCAGCCACCGCCTCCGTTGCCCCAGGGCCTGCCTCCCCCTCCTACTCAGCCGCCACCGCCCTTGGAGAGCCCGCTGTCGGATGAGGGCCCCTGTCCAGGTACCAACTGTACCAAAAAGGGAAAGGTGTGTTGGGGTTGCGGTGGGAAGGGCAAGGGGGCTTATTCCAGGGTCCCCTGGCAAACAGGCTTCTTGGGTTTCCAAACTGGCTTGGACATAAAATTGGGTGGCCACAGAGAGCGTGCCTTCCTGCAAAGTGAGGGTAAGGTTTTTGTGTGTTCCACTATGTTTCCTTCCAAGAATGTAGCTTGGCTTACTTGCGTTGAGTTATGTACATCTTCTGCCATGAGCTAGGAGAAGGCAGGTGTCTTCTGCTATGTGGCGTGTGGCAGCCATTCCTGGGTTTTGCCCAGACATATCTCTACTTTGTGTGTGCATATTTGGGGTGGCAGTGTTCGTGGTAATATTTAGGTTAAATATTCTCCCCGTTCTCTCATTCCCCCACCTTGTGCTTCAATAACTGTTCATACATCTTTCTCCCCAGGTGGATGTGATACTGGATGTGGCCTTTCAGGCGATTCAGATCCAGCCACCCCAACTGACAGGTGTGTTGGTGTCCTCATGTCCACAAAATTCTGAAGACGTTTACCCAAGATGAGTGGGTACTGTTTGGGGGTACAGCAGCCAGAAATTGAAATGGGATTTTCCAGTTGATTTACAGCAGAACCCCAAGAGGCAGGTTTAGCACCAACAGGTGGAAGGCAAGGATGCTGATGTTCAGCGAAGTATTAAAAAAAAAAAAATGTTCTAAGGTTCCAATCATTTTACATGGCAGAACCGAGAATTGATTTTGGGATTTGAAAACTCACTTCTAGGTCATGAGTGCCCTCAGGAGCTTTTGTTTCTTAACTCTAATTTCATGCTTGTCACTCCTGGCATGGGAATTATTTTATTTTTATTTAGTTATTTATTTAAAAATTTCTATGCCGCCCCATTCGCCGAAGCCTCGGGGCGGCTTACGAAACATCAGTTAAAATATAAAACACTAAAAATATAAAACACATTAACATTATAAAATAAGTCGCCCTGGCCGAAGAATTAAGCAAATAATATTAGCAATTAAAATGACGTTTGAATAAAAAGGTCTTCTCCTGGCGCCGAAAAACAAATAACGACGGCGCCAGGCGGACCTCTCTGGGGAGCGCATTCCATAGATTGGGCGCCACCGCTGAGAAAGCCCTCCTCCGGGTACCTACCCTCCTGATTTCCTTCACGGAGGGTTCCCGGAGTAGGGCCTCTCCTGCAGATCTCAAGGGGCGGGCGGGCGTATATGGATGTAAGCACTCCTTCAGGTAGCCAGGACCCAAGCCGTTTAGGGCTTTATAGGTCATCACCAACACCTTGAATTGGGCCCGGACTTCAATGGGAAGCCAGTGAAGCTGACAGAGAACTGGAGTCAGGTGAACATAACATCCAGTCCCTGTCAGCAGCCTGGCAGCTCTATTTTGAACCAATTGAAGTATCCGGACCGTCTTCAAGGGTAGCCCCACGTAGAGCGCATTACAGAAGTCAAGGCAGGAAGTCACCAAAGCGTTTGTCACTGTCGTACTCCAGGCAGTCGTACTCCAGGTAGGGGCGCAGCTGGAGAACAACATCCAGAATCCTTGGCCCGATTAGGTGAATTCTTACGTACAAGTTGCATCTATTCTTACTAGCTTGTTTGTTCTTTGTTTCCTGCTTTTTGCAGGTGCAGCCTGATATTATCCCCAAAAGGTCCAGACTGGGCACTCTGCCTGCAGGATGGTAAGTAAGAAACTGGTGTGGGGATCGTGGGGGTAGAGAGATCTAAGGAAAGAAAAGATCACTATTCTGCCTCTGTTTTCTCAGCTGTTGCTGGCGGCTCCCGTGTCAGTGGGATTGGTGCAGCCTCTCCAGGTTTCAGCTCAAGCCTTGAAGGAACTCTCCTTGGTGCTGAAACTACGAGGGCTTGGAATTCAGCACCATGGAGAGATCCTTACAGTGGATACTTTGGGGTGGATACACTGCCCATGGCGTTGGAATCATGAATCTCTGCCCAATATTATTGGGTAGATTTTTGCCCAATATCAAAATTCTTTCAGCCCAAGGGCCAAGTGCCACTTCAGAGAAGGTCTTGGGGGGGGGGGGGCTGCCTTGAGGGGGGGGGGGGCTGTCAGGCTGTTTTGGGCTAAATGGAGAAGGGAAGGAGGCCAAAGGAGAGTCTGAGAGAACTGGGCATGGTCAGACTTGAGAAGAGAAGACTGAGGGGGACATGATATCCCTCTATAAGGACCTCCAAGGCTGTCACAAAGAGGAAGGTCAAGATCTCTTCTTGCTGATGCCAGAGTGTAGGACACGGAGTAATCAAGTCAAGCTGTGACAACCCAGATTCAGGCTAGATATTGGGAAAAGTTTCCTCACCATCAGAGCAATAAGGCAGTGGAACCAGCTGCCTGGAGAGGTGGTGGGCTCTCCCACACTAGAGACATTCAAACAGGAGCTGGACAGCCATCTGGGTGGGGTGGTGTAACGCGGTGTCCTGCAACAGCAGAGGGTTGGACTCGGTGGCCTTCATGGCCCCTTCCAACTCTGCTATTCTGTGATTCTGTAACCTGTGTAGCGCATTGTAGTCCATACAGTCTGAAGCTGGAGGAAAGGATAAACCGTTGGACAAAGTTATTTCTGTATTTATTATATTTATATCCTACCATTTCCCTGCAAGGAACTTAAGGCAGCTTACATAATCTTCCTCCACCTCTCTGTTATGCCCTCCCAACAACCCTGTGAGGTAGATTGTGCAACTGCCCCCTCCGCCTTGCTCTAGGACCATCCCTCGTAGGGTAGTGGGGTAGAGAGAAGCCTCCGTCAGAGAATTATAGGGGTCCACCATAAGAGGGGCTGTGTTAGGGTGCTCAGAAATGATTGTGGACCAGTTATCCAACTCCGGCTGCCGTTTAGCTTGCGCGAAGGCTTTGCTGCATGAATCTAAGGACCATCCTCACCTGTGCAAAGCTGGGCCCTTTGGCTAGTAATTCCATAAAGCAAGGCCATCTCTCCCTCTCCCACTGAAACACCCGTATTTACATCCTTCTCTTTCGCCCCTGCAGAGCCACTGTATCAAACCTACCGCCAGGCTGTCATCTCCAAGGAGATCAAGCGACAGACGGTGCCCCGCAATAGCAGTTTCAGCAGTTCGGACTACGGGGCCCCTTCCCCTGGTGAAGGGCCAGCCGGGCCCCGTGGGACCCTCCCACATAGCACCCTTTGGCAGGAGCTGCCTGCCGTGCGGGAGAGCGGCCTCCTGGGGAACATGGGTCCCGAGGAGAGGAAGATGCAAGAGGTGAGACTGCGGAGGCTCAGGCGGAGAAGACTTGGCCTTTTTGCCACCTGGCAGCTGGTATCAGAAAGCAGAGTGGGGGGGCCGTGCGTAGGCAGACCTGGTGCTCTCTGAACCTCAGGCTAAATAAAAGCGTGAATGCAAAGCTCTTTGGCCACACAGTGCCCTGAGCATATTTGTGGTCGTAAAGCGGCGTAAGCAAACATCATAAGTAAATGCATGGGCAAGCTAACAGTAAGCACAGAGGAAGCGGAACAGTCGGTAAACTCACGGCAAGCTCTTTGAACACAGAGGTTTGCGGCTCAGAGGGTTGTGGGCTGGGCAAGCGTGTGGCCAGGGCATTCCTTGCGGACCGTGTTTTAGCTGGGTGCTTGTTTTCATTAATGGCAATGACTCGTTCTCAGCATGTGGGCGGAAGGATGGCAACACAGCGTGTTTTGTCAATCAAAGTGTCCCAGAAAGCATGAATTGATTTTACGCTGCAAAAGAAAACGATCCAAATGGTATATGTTGGCAGTGCAGAACGATATGGGGAGGATGGGCTGGAGTGCCCCCTAACCACCAGGTGGGGTGGGTTAGAAGTGCCATTAGGCAGGGCCAGGTCCGTGCCAGCCTCTCTCCGTGTTGGGAAGGGCATGGCCTTCCATGCCTCCCACACAGAGGAGGAGACGCCGTCTTCCCAGCACTGCTCTGACTTTGCACCGTGCCTGGTTCTTCCCAGCAGCAGCCCCGTCCAATCTGTTATCTCAGTCTGGCAATAACGGCTCTGGGCTGGAAGCTGTGCTCCCACGATCTGTGCGTTGGGTTCTGAAACACCCTGTTGCAGGAACTCGGATATTCCCCGACACCTTAAGCCGCACTTCAGTACGACTCCTAAGATCCCGGTGCAGGGAAATGAATTCTGTAAGCGCTATTAACAGTTCTCACTCTCTCTCCTCCTCTGTCGGTTTTCTCCTCCCACCGATGTCCCTTTTGGCGGATGGTGCTCCTCGTGTGCAGAGCCTTTTTGAGGTGGTGACGTCGGAGGCATCCTACCTGCGCTCCCTGAGCCTTCTGATCGAGCACTTCATGGAGTCGCGGGACCTGGCGGCCACCATCCTCCTGCGGGAGCACCGTATCCTCTTCTCCAACATCCGCAAAGTCAAGGAGGTCAGCGAAAGGTTAGCTTTGCCTCCTCCCCTTCCCTCTTGGCCCCTTTGCCCCCATCACTCGGGCTTCATCCTGGAGAACAGAGGAGACCCATCTATGCTGGGGAAATTGCCGGCCTGCTGGTCACAGTCGCTGAAAGCTCAGCCCTGTATCCAGAAGAAGTTTCATGGCTCCTGCAGGGACTGCGCTCTGTGACTTTTCCGGAGATCACCTCTTAGTGACCAGCAGTAAACTGCATCATTTCGGGGGGTATCGGATGTTAAAATCCTATTCCTGAATGCTCATCCCTGCTTGCAGACAGCTAAGCCCGCTCTCACTGCCTGCATAGCTGTGACTATCGCATGCATGGCTTTTCCTAGTGCCTGTTTTTCTTCTGGGCAGATTCCTGCTGGATCTGGAGGGACGCCTGGCTGACAGCTTGCAGATTTCGGATGTCTGCGATATTGTGGAGGAACATGCCCAGCAGAACTTTTCCGTGTACATCGACTATGTACGCAACCAGCTGTACCAGGAAAAGACCTACAGCACCCTCATGTGAGTGTGTGGTGTGTGTAGCGGTGGGTTTTCTGGGATGGTGGTTTATGGGGTACTTCCCACTGCAAAAGGCCATCTCAAAGAGTCTTCTAGAGGTGGATAAGAAACTGATAAGTAAGTTGACAGAAAAAACACCCCAAATCCGTTTAAAGCATCATGCGCACAATACAAATAAAAGCAAGCACCGCAAAACAGAATCTGAAGTTAGTAAATACATTTTTGCAACTGTTGAGCTGTGACCCGTACCGAAAGCATCTAGCAAAATATGTTTATCTTCTGGTGCTGAAAAGACCACATTGGTGGCTGGGTGAAATAAACCGGAGGAACTCCTGGTACTATTGGTCTTGCAATTTTGCATTTGGATCGTTGTGTACAAATTGTGCGGAAGCAGATAGAATCGGGTATCCTCAGGGTGGCACTGTTCTCTGGCGCATCATTTTCGAACTCCATCAAGCTTGCCAGCCTCATGGATTGTAACCAGGGTGGGAAGGGGGGATGGAGGTGGGTCTGGGAGCAGAAACAGCCAGAATTGACTGGCTGATAGCAGGACGGGAAATGAAGGGTTGACTGGCTGATAGCAGGAATGGAAATGAATTGGCGTATCCTGAACAGCAGCCATCTGCGCTGCAATATGGAAGACTTTTCTGACCCAGGTGCTGCCTCTTTTTGCTTCTCAGGGAAAAGAACCCGCAGTTTGCCGTAGTGGTCACCCGGCTCCAGGAGCTTCCCCAGTGCCAGCGGCTGCCCTTTATGTCCTTCCTGCTGCTTCCTTTCCAGAGGATCACCCGCATCAAGATGCTCATAGAGGTGGGAGCAGTCCTCGTCCTGATAGCTTTGGCGCTGTAAGGCAGGCTGGGGAGTCCGATTGCGTTCCCTCGCCCAGGGCTGCATGCCCTGTGGCAGGGGTGTGTGTGTGTGTGTGTGTGTGTGTGTGTGTGTGTGTGTGAGAGAGAGAGAGAGAGAGAGAGAGAGAGAGAGAGAGAGAGAGGGAGAGGGAGAGGGAGAGAGAGAGAGAGAGAGAGAGATATCTCCCAGGGGAGGGGTGTGATAATAGTGTGCAAGGCCATATTTCTCTATTCCCCGATTCCTCCCAGCTCAGCGGCCAGTGGAGGGAAAACAGGCTGGTCTTGCCCAGGGGCTTGAACTGGCCACTTGCACAGGGCGTCTGACATTCAGGCTGAGGGCTGCAGGTTGCCCACCGTTGCTGAACGGCGACTGGGTTCTGTTTCTCTGCCGTCTGACATTTGGTGGGGCTGCTCCGTGTCCTTTGCATCTCGGCATGATGTGGTTGGGAACCAGCCTTCTTCCGTAGCACGGGCCCCTACAGCTATTCTGGAGCACAACTCCCAGGATCCTTGGCATGTCAGGACAGGTAGTTTCTGAGTTTTATCCACTGGATCCAGGAGTCCAGCGAACTGAGTCTGTATTTGGGGGCCCCTGAGGAATGTGTCTCTAGAGCTCCACGGATGAGCAGATTAACCTTGGCAGAGAAATTCTCCACCACCCTTCTTCCCCAAAAGCGCAGAAATGCTGGGGAAGTGCCAACTGCTTCCTAGGCTGCCCAAGTGGGAGGCCCAGGATCCCGCTCCACGTGCATGAAAAGTGCCTTCCCAGAATCCGCTGCAACTCCCAGGTGCCCCACAGCCATCAAGCCAACATGGAGAGCAACTTCACTCCCCTAGAGCAAAATAGCTGTGAAAATCCATGCAGCTTGCGCTAACCCCTCTACGTCTTGGGCTACATTTCCTGGGGGAGCCCATCAGCACTTTCTTCTGGCTGGGGATGATGGACACGGTAGTCAGCACATCTGGAAGACTGTCCTAGTTGATGAGGATGAGTGATGGCCTCTTGCCCTCTTCCCTCCTTCCGCCTCTGAGTTTATTTATCCCTGTATCTGTAGAACATCCTGCGGCGGACGGAAGAAGGGTCCCAGAGAGAGCAGAACGCCATGAAGGCCCTCGCGTCCGTTTCCAAGGTGAGGAGGCGCACGGCTAACAGGAGCCCATGTGGCTACCACAGATGGACTGAGGCCAGTGGCAGGCGCTCTCCGTGCGGTTTTCCCAGGACTCTAGTGTGATATCCTTGCACCGGGCTTTCCCAGGGGCAGAACCTTCTATGGAGTTTGGGCCTTTATCATATAGGGGAATGGGGACGAGAACGCTGCTTCACCTCACCCAGATGTGGCTTGGTGGCAGCCCGGGAGCCGAGGCAGGTCCTGGAGGAATGAAAGCGACGTCTCCCGGAGCCGACGGGTCCAGGGGAAGCCAGGGTGGTGCGGTGGCCGAGAGCGTGGGGCTGGGGCTCAGGAGATCCGGGTTCTAGTCCCTGCTCGACCAGCCATTGTGTGACTTTGGGCCGGTCACAGATTCTTAGCCCAACCTGCCTCAAAGGGAGGTGGTTGTTAGGGTGAGAGTGAGAGGAGGAGAATTAGGTAAGCTGCCTTGAGTTCCTTGGAAAGGAAAAAGGTGGGATGTGAAATTAATTAATTAATTAATTAACCAACCAACCAACCCTGGGATTTGTAGACCTACATCCCCCTTCCCAGGATCTTCTCCACACCAACATTCAGACCAAAGCATGTTGAGTGGCCCCAAAATGCTAAGCTCCAGTTGGGGTGGGGGGGTGAGAGGAAAAGCACGGGGAACAGAATGGCATATCCTGAAAAAGGGCATGGCCGGCTGCCACTTTGCACTGGATCACTTTGCACTCGCAGCGTTTGGTTGCAGTTCCCACTTGTATGCATCCGAAGACCGTGTGGTTCATAAGTGGTCCATTTCCTTTAGAGAAAGCAGGTCCTCTGAACTGACTCTCCAAGTCCTCTGAACTTTCCTCTTCCTCAAATCTCTTCCTTAAGATCATAGAAGAATGCAACTCGGAGGTGGGCCGCATGCGCCACATGGAGGAGCTGATCCACCTGACCAGCAAGATTGAGTTCGACAAGCTCAAGGTAGGACGTGGCAACCTGCCCCTTCGCTCCGTAGCCAAGGGCGGCTCACAGCCAATTAAAATGCTGCCATTCACCTGCCATGGTATGCCTGTTGTTGTTGTTTGTTCTGGAGTTTGGCTTGGAATCGCAATTTCTCATTCTCTTTCATAATAGAAACGGAGTGAGTCAGAAGGGGTCTCTGGGGCCATCTAGTCTGACCCCCGGCTCCAGCCGGCTCCGTTCATGTAATCCCCAACATGTGGTTGTCCAATCTTTCCTTGAACACCCTCACTGATGGGGCCTCCACCACCTCCCTTGGAAGCCCATTCCATATCCTGGGGGTCTTAACCAGCAGGAAGTACTTCCTGACATCCAACCTGAAGCCTGGTTCCTTGAGCTTTGCCCCACTGGAACACATCCTGCCCTCCACTGCAGGGGGGAAAAGGTCATGACCACCTCTGTGTGGCACCCCCTCACATACATTAAAAAAATCCCCTCGGAGTCTCCTCTTCTCCAGGCTGAAAAGACCCAGTTCCCTCAATCTCTCCTCATTTGGCCTCCCTCCCAACCCGGCTACCCTTCTTGTGACCCTGCACTGAACCGATTCTAACCCAGCTATGCCTCTCCTATAACTGGAGCCCAGAACTGGGCGCAGGACTCCAGCTGTGGGCACTCCAGAGTCGAGCAGTGCTTTTCTCCCCTTGGTCTCCTTGAGAACGGTGCCCGCTGGGGGCTTGGGGTGAGCCCTTTCCGAATGCAGAAGAACGACGCTGCTTCCGCGGTGCAGAGTTTGATTCCTGGCAAGAGCCCCGTGAATGCTGGATGCGCTCGCCAGGAACTCGGGCTCGGGCCACTGCAAAGCAGCCGTTGCCTCTTGAATGGCCTCTGCTGACATTTTGTGGGTCTCTTGGCCCGTGGCTAGGCAGCCTTCAGAGACCTTGCCATCCCCCCGGATTTCTCTCTGCTCCAGGCGGTGCCCATCATCTCGCAGAGCCGGCAGCTGCTGAAGCAGGGCGAGCTGCTGGAGGTGGTGCATCGGGGCACCATCTTCGGCACCAAGCCCAAACTGGTGCCCATCTATCTGTTCCTCTTCAACGACCTGCTGCTAGTCACCCAGCGCAAGAGGTGAGCTGGGAGGTGGACCGTGTGCTTGTGTGTGTGTGTGTGTGTGTGTGGGCTGGGAGCCAAAATGAAGTGGCAAAACATTCCCCCAGACACCTCACTTATGGGGCTAAGAAACATGCTGGCCAACAACCTGTAAACTATTCTGCAGGATACATTTTGAGACTGAGTCAGCTGCACAGTTCCTCTCACTTTAATCTTAAGGGCTAGAAACTTGTCTCTTTTTAAAAAATGAAACCACAGATTATCCAAATGTCACCCAGTGCACAATTGTGTCCTTGCTTAGTGCAGTTGTGAGAATACACCGCCCACACCGCACACGGAGTTTGTTTGACACAGCTGGTAGGCCTAGGAGCAGATCTGGTTCCCAGGTAGCCTCATCCGCCTTTCCCTGGCCACTCATAATTTGGTGGCTTCCTGATGGTTTTGTGCAAACCTTTTGCCTGCCTGGGGAGGTTAAAATGCCTCTCTTAAGACTCAGTCACTGGCCATGCCCTAATTTCAAGCTAAAAGAGCCTGGTGTTTTTGGAACAAGATGCCTGATGGCCCAGCCTGGACAGTTGGCTTGCGAGAGGGTTTGTGCGAACCCCTCCCGGCCTTCCAGCCGCCCGGATTTCTCCCGGGCCTCACCTGCTGCGTTCCCCTGTTCTCTGCAGCTCCGAACGCTTCGTGGTGCTGGATTACGCCCATCGCTCGCTGGTGCAGGCCCAGGACTGCGGGGAATCCTCCACGAGCCACCACGCCGAGAACTGCTTCTACCTAACCCTGATGGAGAACCACCAGGGGCGGAGCAGCGAGCGCCTCTGCCGTGCCCCGACGCAGTGAGTGGCCCGCCTTGGGAGCCTCGGTGAGGAATGGTGCCCGTCCCTCTCGTCACGGACCTGTCTCTGGCTTTCAGTTCTGATATGCATCGCTGGATGGGTGCCTTCCCCTGCCACGAATCCCAGTGCAACGGCAAGCAGGAAACGATCTACGAGGACTGGGGTAAGGCCCGGGTGCTTCCTTCCTCTCCCCTTCTCTTCCCTCGCGGCCGTCGACACGGCTTCTTACAAAGTGCGTCCTTCCAGCAAAATTGGATTGAGCTGGATTCTCCTGGCTTTGCTTTGGTGTCTCTTGAGAAGCATTCTGGGCATCGCCCTGCTTGCAAGCCGTGCCTTTCCGATGGGACCGCTAGGTTTTTGCTACGTGGGCAAACTGCAATTTGTGTACACGTGTGTGATCTGTACTGGGGAGACGCCTTCCTCTGAATCATCCCAGCTCTACCACAGAGATAGATAAATAGATAGCTGTATGTTTTAAATATGTATAAGGATAGGACATTCACTCACATATAGCTTTCTTGTACGTGGCCTGCAACATCCTCTCCTCATGCATATTAATCTACACGTTCAAAGGTTATATTCTAGTCCTTTTTAGTAACGTGCTGATTATGACTGTATATGTTATATTCATGTAAGATCCCTTGGCATTCTTATTTTTCTTTTACATTTTTCTTCCTTTCTGTGCTTCATTTCTTTTAAGAAAACAAGTTTTGAAAGTTTATATCCTAATCTTTTAAATACAGATTACAGGAATGAGGCTGGTTTTGACAACAGTATGTGAAACAACAACAGTATGTGAAATTCTCCCAGCCTTACTGGCATTTTGAGTTTCTTGCTTCTCCCTCTTGCCAAGGGAAGATGGGGTGGGGGGGGGTCCTGTTTTGTCCTTCTGCCCCCATGAGACTTTCTCCCATTGGCTAGAAGTTCACTTCTTTCACAGCACCTGTTTGAAAACTTCATGGTATGCTTTTTCTTCTCAGCAGTTGAAATTTAGCTAAAGCATTGCAGAAGATGGGTACCAAAAGAGCTCCCTTGAGGCGGGTTTGTCTGTAAGGGTTTACGTCATGCAGAAGACAATATTTATCTATCTTTTCCCCTGCTTCACCTGTTTCTGTATGCCTGGTTAAGATTATTCCGCATACAAACCAGGGCTGGGTTCAGACAGCATTCTCAGTCAAGGGTTGAGAATGGGTTGTCATTGAAACACGGGTGATCGTGTTGTCAGAACCCAGCCGGATTAATAGCAGCGTGGTGAACCATTCGCAGTTCACAAGCCAGCAACAAACCAGGGGTTCTCTTCAGGGGATTTTGAGTCGACAAGTTGTTGGCACACTGGCTCCAGATGGCTCAGAAACTCAGGTTCAGCGGCAGCCCCTGCCCAGCCCTTCTGTGCGTCATCTGAAGCCGGTCCATCTCTCATTCCACCCCGGCTTTCTCTCCGCAGACTGTCCCCAGGTGCAGTGCACGGAGGCCTACACAGCTGCCCAGGCCGATGAGCTGAGCCTCGAGCAGACTGATATCATCAACGTGCTGCGCAAAACCAACGAAGGTGAGCGAGGGCAAAGGGGGTGCAGTTGCCGAATAATCGCAGCTGAGGGAGCCCATCGAAATCTCCTCCCGGTTTCCTCTCCACCACATCCTGGTGGACAGAGTCCCTGCGGGTGTTGGACTCTGGTCCCTATTAGGCTGGCTGGGGATGATGGGGTTTGTAGGCCGGTGCCTCCAGATGCTGTTAGAGTAAAAGGGACTGTTCCAGCCTCAGGGATTCAAAGCCTGAGATAGAAGGATAATTTTATATTATTTATATTTATATTTATGGCCTCATTTACTAAAAAAACCGTCAAGGTGGTGCACAGCAATTTAAAACAGTAAAAGTGTAGCACAATAAAAATTAGACCATTAGAAACAGAATAACATCATACCATCAGAAAAGCTAGGCTGGACGTCCACATGGTGGGCATGTCGTGAGCGGAGCCGGCTGGTGCCGGAGGTCAGACTAGATGGCCCGGGAGACCCCTTCTGACTCGCTCTGTTTTCTATGTTTCTAAGCTACATTATTCAAAAAGTTGCCTACATAGAGATGCATCGTGATACCCTTTCCAAAGGCGAAGAGAGTGCAGGCCCTGTTCTAGCTTGCGTGGGGAACAAATTAAACTTTTTATTTATTTGATTTATATCCCACCTTTTTTCTTGCAAAGAACTCAGAGCAGGTGCCCTCATTCTCCTCCACCCATCTTCTCCATCTTATTTATTTATTTAGGAGACTTCTATGCCGCCCCATTCGCCGAAGCCTCGGGGTGGCTCACAACCATAAATAAACTTCAAGATAGAATAATATAAATTAACAATATATATTAAGTCGCCCTGGCCAAAGAATAATCCCCACCACAACAACCCTGCGAGGTAGGTTGGGCTGAGAGTCTGTGGCTGGCCCAGAGTCACCCAGGTGGCTCCATGGCGGAGTGCGGACTAGGACCCGGGTCGCCTGAGCCCCAGCCCCGTGCTTGAAACCACTACACTGGGACAGCCTTTTTATCTCTGCCTCTCCGTGGGCCATACTTCCCTCGAAAAGCCTCTCCTGCAGATCAGGCAGGTTCATTACAGGAAAGGTGCCGGCCAAGATAACCAGCTGCTCACCCATTCTAGGGGGTTTTAAGTTCAGCTGCGCCTGGAAGGCACCTGGCAGCCCGTTTTGATTTTTCAGGGCAGGGTTAGGATTAGGATCTCTTAATAGGATCCCGATTCCATGTAGTGGTTAGCAACGGAGCCACTGCAATTATCCTTCAAGCCCCACACAATCACGGCACACCGTGCCTTCCTTATGTAGGACATTCCTATCCTGCCCTTTATATCCTCACGACAACCCTGCGAGGTCGATCAGGCTGACAGAGAACGCCTGGGCCAAGCTTGCTCCTCTTGCTTCATGGCAGTGTCGGGATTTGAACCTAGGTCACCTTCTCCCTTCTTTGGGACAAAGTCCACCCTAGGTGACATTCCTGTTTGAGTGCTGCAGGGGTCGTCTCGATCGGGAAAAGAGTCGGAGGGGAAAGGAATACCTCCCCCTTCTCCCAGTGCCATGGCACTGATCAGATTCAGGATCTCCCTCCTTTGCATCCTGTAGCCGCATTCCAGGCAGAGGGAGATGGGGGCACTTCCAGCCCAAGACGTCTCTTGCGGAAGCTGCAAGAGCTGGACGTCATGTTCTCTTCACGGTGGTACCTTCTGCAGGCACCTCCTGGATCTGCCCTTCTCTCTGGCTTTTGGCCGCCAGGCTTAAAACCTGTTTTTTATCAAAACTTGCTGAGTGACTTTGTTCATTTTCATCTTCAGGGGATTTTGAGCTCTCTCTGTGTGTGTGTGTGTGTGTGTGTGTGTGTGTGTGTGTGCGCGCGCGCGCGCGCGCGCGCGCGCGCGCGCTAATGGTGTCCTGCTGATTTTAAATAACATCTTAGACTAATATTTTTTGGCATTCCATTTTCCTTCAGTGCTTACATTTTTAATTTCAGTCGACACTCAGACCAGTGTGCCTTTTGCAACACATGAAGAGCTTAATTAGAACATTGTGCTCGTTTGTTTAAAAACAGGCCCCTCCTAACAGTTTTAGCCAACATCTTGTAGCAGCAAGTTTTACTCTGCATCATTTTTCATACCATCCAGCATGGAAATTCATGGCAAGGCGTTGTGACCTCATGCTTTTATCCAAGTCTCTTGACTGCCATGGTGATATTATTATATTTAAGCCCCCACCATGAGGAAGAGTTCTGTGTAACCTAGAAGTCTGCACGCCACACTGTGAACACTTAATCCCAACAAAAGTGTTGTTCTTCGTGTCTCTGGGAGTAGCTGGTTGGAAGCGTTTTCCCTCCATGGTATCCTCTGATACAGGCATGGCTCATTCTGCGGCCACCAGTAGCTAAACAGTGCCTCTGTTTAGCTCATCATGATTAGAGAGCATACTCTAAATACCAAAGGGTGAGGAAGGGCTTGCTGAGGCGATTCTCAACAGCCTCTGGGAAACAAGAAACTGGACCAGAGGAAAGAGTGATCTCATTTACGAATTACCATTTCCTCTATTTGTGCCATCCCGGCTGAGTGCATTTGCTTGTGTAGCCCAAAATAAAAGTCGTTGATAGACTCAGGGGAGCCTCACGAGTGGTAGAGACATGTTAGTAGTGAAGATATACAAGGTATTTAGGGGAAACCTAAGTTGGGTGACCCCAAAACAGCCCAGTGGGGGCTGAATGTGCTTACCGGCTGCAGGATGGTGATCGTTAGTGACGGGAAGAGGGACCCCGAGGGTCTGGAATGGGCTTCCCCGGGAGGTGGTTGAGGCCCCATCAGTGAGGAGTTCAAAGATAGACTGGACATGCACATGGTGGGCATGTTGTGAGCGGAGCCGGCTGGAGCCGGGGGTCAGACTAGATGGCCCGGGAGGCCCCATCTGACTTGCTCTGTTTCTGTGTTTTTATGAAACCAAATGGAGCAGGTAGACACCTGGATAACATGTTGCAACATTTTGTTGTGCTTGTGTGCTCTTCGAGAGCACCTGTCTTATTGATATTAGACCAAAACCTTATGGATGGTTGATTGAATGCTCAGCTATAGATATTCCTGGTGTGGAAGGCAGTCTGCTTTTATTAACCGTGGCAGCTGCAAATGGAACCTCAGTTTTCGGAGGTGTCGGGCCATGTGGCTGGTTCATGTCAGCTGGGACCCAAGAGTTGGGACTGATCCTCACCGCCACTGAGCTGGTTCGGCCTTCGGTCTAAAGCAGCAGGGCCGTTCTCGCCTTTTTATACCCCGTTTGGCCTTCCTGGTGCTGTTGCGGGGCAGCTCCCACAAGCGTGGTCCGTGGAGAGGCATGATGGGAGTTGTGGTCCATGCAGATCGGGAGGTCCGTGGCTCACCCGCTGCAGCTGCAGAGCAAAAGAGGGCCGACGGGCCTCGCGACTGCTGCCCGCCTCTGGAGCGCACTGCAAACGGGTCCTGTTTTCTGCCCGCAGGTTGGTATGAAGGTGTCCGCCTGGCTGACGGCAGGAAGGGCTGGTTCCCCTCGCGCTACGTGCAGGAGATCACCAACGAGCACGTGCGCCGGCGCAACCTCCGTGAGCGCTACCGCGTCCTGCAGGTGGCTCGCCAGCTGCAGCTGATGCGCTCCAGCCAGGGGAAGAGCAAGTTCGGTTCGGCCTGAGACCCGCGGGTGCCGAGCAGCCAAGAGGAGAGCCAGGGACCAGCCTGTGCACTCTGCACACGCGTCTCGCGGCCTGGAGGGGGCAGCAGTGGGACGCCTCGAAACCCGCCTCCTCCACCCACCTGGAGCGGCAACAGGCCGTCGGTATCATCAACTCCCTTGCATGGCGCACAGAACTGGCTGCTTCCGGTTCTGTCGACCGACCGCCCAAGAATTGGTCCGAATTCCACAGAGACGGCCCTGCTGTGTTGGGACTCACAGGTTACAGCTAAATTCCTCAGTGGAGAGAGCGTGGTGGGGAGAGGCTCTTTCCCCCACTCCTGCTTGAGGAAGGCTGATGATCCCAAGCTGTAACACCAGTGCCATATTCCAAGCAGAAAGGTTAGCGGAGTCAGGGCCTGAACTGTTATGGCCCACTATTCTGACCAGCTTCAGGACCGAGGAAGTACCTTCTCACCTCCTCCTCCCGTACGGCTGTGGGTCTACTGACATAAGTGGCAAGCCACGATCTTTGAGCGAGAGGGAGAGATGGGGAACAGGGCCTTCCGTTGCTCAAGTTCCCCAAGGAACACGGGCAGTAGATGTTCCATCCAAAGGCCGGGTTTTCAAGCGATACTTTTCTTTTCCTGAATCGCCTGCCCCAGGTGTCTGAAGAGAGCACCTTGCTCGTGCTACTAGAGGTACCAGGTAGAACCGGAACCTTTTCCATTTCACAGAGAAGCCCCCGTTGGCAGGCTAAATGTGTGACCCAGGCTAGAACTTGGCACAGGAATGGAACAGCCAAAAGCCAACCCCCTCCCCAAATGAATTTTGCAAATGGGGCTTTTCCGAAGTCCGAGCATCCTACCACCTCTGCCAGTTTTTCCACAAACCTTCCCAGTTTCCCTGTTCCGACCTCAGGCCCTCTACCTCAATGCATACAACGAGCTCCCTCTCTTCTCCGGGTTTTAGCGAGCTGCCCTGGTGCAGCTCATGGGCCTAGGCGCACCCATTTCCTCTTTTCTGGCGCTGGCGTCTGATCCACTCCCTTCCCTGGCCTGCTTTCTCCCTAAGTGTGCTCAGAGGTTTCTGCGACTAGGGAGTCGTGTTCCCCACCCCGGAAATGCGGCCGTGGACCAGCTTGTATTTATTACAACGTCCCCACACCCTTGGCTGTGGATTCCTTAGAGCTCTGGTAGCACCAGGAGGTGTGGAGGAAAAGATGGTTAAATTATTCTGTCCCATATTTGCCTGGATTGTCGTCTTTATTTTGTGCAGCTTTTTCCCTATCACCGTTGCCTGTTGTTGTTGTTGTCTTTTTAAGCGATGATGATGATGATGAAGAGAATGAGAGAAATGATTGTGTGCCAGTGCTGGTTTTTCTGCCTCTGGAGGGTTCCCACTTTTGCGGACGCTTGTAGAAAAGTCTCTGCTTACCACTTTCTGCTGCTTCCCAAGCAGCGGTCGCATGAAGTGGAGGCGGGAGCTGAACGCTAGCTTAACAACGTGTCCTGAGCCATCGCTGTCTCCCAGGTTTGTAAGCTGCAAAACTGAGCGCTCTCGCATAATGCTTGCCTATGCCAAGTATTGCATTTAAGGCCCTCCTCCTGGCCCAAGAACTCATTCAGAGAGATAACGGGCAGCCTCCTCTATGCAGGATTGGCTGCTCTGGAAGGAAGCCTGGCTGCGTGTCCACACTGAGAGGTGGACCATTTTGCTGGGATTGTTCAACACCAGAAACGCAACCGGTTTGACCGCTTCTGGAGGGAGGTGGGCAACTGAGTGTCTCGGTGCTGGTCTCGTCTCCTTGCAAAGTCATGTAAGGAGTGTGTCTCATGCATCCTCACAAAAGTGAACTATTGCAGGGGTTGAGGAGGGGGAGATGGAAAGTTTGCCCCATGCAGTCCCTGCCTTTGGGGGTTAGAGATTGCCATGTGACACAGATTGCTTATTAAAACAGCCTTCGTGGTGGGGGGAGACGGGGGCTTTCACAAGCCTAATTATTTGGGGGGGCATTTTCAAGAGGGTTTGTAATGCCAGAGTGCAGTCTAGAAGAGATGTGGGTAGGAGAGAGGCTGGGTTCAGACAACGTAACAAGCCATGGTGATCTTTAGACCCTGTTGGTTTCTCTTGCTGTCTGAACCCAGTCATGGTATTTCACCACGGTAAGATTAGTCTTTAGAAACCACAAAGGAAACCATGGTTTGTTCTATGCTTGTCTGTGCCACCATGGCTTGTTATGTTGTCTGAACCCAGGATCATGGTGTGCGTGGTGCTGGTGTGTGACTACCACAGATGCACCCTGGGATTGAGGCCAACAGCAGGACTGACTGGGGAGCATGGGAAGTCTGGTAATGTAGGAACCTCTTGATTGCCTTTTGGGTGGATCAGGATTGAAAAAAGCCACCAACTGTGGTAACCAAGCAGGGTAGCTTGCCAAGTCGTGTGAACCCAGAAGGTGGGCGAGTGAATGGGGTCTGAGGCCAGTGTTGACCATGGAGTGGCCCTGCTTGCCCACTTTGGGGGGGGGGGGGCAAGGGGCTGCTGCCCCAGGCCCAATGGGACAAGGCTCTCCCAGCCTATCTTCCCCCACACAAACATTGTGGAACGCTGCTGACAGAAAGAGGAGTCCGGTTAAAAACATAAATGTATTTGTCGCGCCGGGAAACAGCAGTGCCAATAACTTAATGCACGCTCTGTGTAGGAAGCCACTAGCCACCCCACCGGCCAGGTCAAGCTGAGCGCCAGAAAGCCCACAGGATTATGGGGGGTTACGCAGGGCTCTGTGTTGTACCTGAGCTCTCCAGCCCCGGAGTTCCTGCCTCGACACGCTGGCGAGTACAGAGCAATGCCCCACAGTCTGACCTCCCCCTCCTACTCCTGGAAGGGCGCTAAGCACCCCTCCAGTGGCACCTGAGGATAATCTTCAGCCGCAAACTGAAACGGGGTGTTTGCATCCGTCTTCAACTGTTTAAGAAACAGAGTGTCAGCCGCTGCTGGGGAGCTGAAAGTTTGAGACTTTCTTCTGTTTGCAATAAACCTCCAAAACTTGTCTGTCCCCGTCTGCAGCCCCAAATACACGTCCAGATGGAGAAGGGTGACAATGCTGAGAGTTAAAATTTGCGTCCTTCCTGGCTACTGTCTCCCCATGTTTTCTGGGTAGCTGTAATCTCTGCAGCTTTGTTCTCGGAAGCGGAGGAAGGCCAAGACTCATGCCTGAACCTACATCTTCCTCTTGCTGCTTCTCCCATGCAAGAGGGGCAGCAGTTGGTGGAAGGGATGCTGTGACTCAGAAGCACCTGCTGCTTCACAGAGGCCAGGCTTGGGTCCTGGCCTAGCTCAAAAATTTCTTCTACAAAAGAAGAGTTTGAACTTGGCTCAAATAAAGTCGATCAAGGTGAACAAACCGAGGAAGGGGATAGGAAGAAGACCTGAGGTGAAGGGTGAAGGCACTGGGAGCTGCCCCTTGCCCCTCCTGCGTGCTGCTTTTCCTTGAGGAAATGGTTTCGGGGTCTGATGTGCTTCTGCTAACCTGATGGAGGCCTGTGGGCGTTAGGATAGATCTCAACTAAGCCCTTCTTGCAGAGAAAAGGGCACAAACAGCCAGCGGTGTCTCCCAAGGGCAGGTGTGGTTGGGCACCGGGTGAAAGCTGGCAACTCCAGACAAGAGGCCTCTGGCTCTCCTCCTCCTCCTCTTTCACCAGCTCAGCTCCGGATTTAGTGAGGAGAAGTGACGGATGCCACCGGCTGTGTGATCCTGGCCCACCTGGAAGCCACGAGGAGAGAGAGGCAGCTGCAGCAATGGGGCTGCAAGGACAGACTGGGAGGAGAGGACCCGTGGAGGGCGGCTTGTCCCGGAGCCCGGGAGAAACCCGGAGGCGGCACCCCAAGGCGAGGAGGGCACCCAGGCGGAGCGCTGCAAGGCGGCGGCGGCTTCTCCAGGCACTGGCGGTGACCGACGTTCGGTGCCGGGCAAAGGGCCGTGCCTGCCGCACCTGGCAGGAGGCCGTCCGTTTCTGTCCCGCGTGGAAGGCACCGAGGACGGTGAAGAGGAGGCCGCCCCCCACGCCTCGGCCTGCTTTCCGCATGTCTCCTGCGTTCGGCGGCCTCTCCGCACCCCGGGGCCGAGGCGTGGGGGGTGGCGCTGGCGTTAGGGGTCCACAAAGGAGACCATGATGTAGCGGGTGCCGCTGGTGGTGGGCAAGCCTTCGTGATAGTGCGTGAGGCGTCCAGGGTGCAGCAAGGTCCAGCCCTTACGGGGCGACTCCACTTGGCAGTTGTAGCGGAGGAAGCGGCAGCCGCCTCCCTGGCGAAGTGGGAGAGAGAGAAGCAGAATAAATTAACGGCTCCTGGTTCGTCAGCATCCTCAGCAGGGGGAATGGGTAATTTTAAAGCGAAGGCCATGCAGTGGTTCTTCCTCAAGCTGGTATGTTGGACAACAACCTCTAGCATCCCCTGGCAAGCTATGAGGAGGCCGGATCCAGATTTAGCCATACTTAAGAGTAGACCCATTGAAATCAGTGGGGTTTAAGCGGATCGTGGACTCCGCAGCCCCAGTGATTTTAATGGCTATCCTCTTTAAATCTGACTAAATCTGGCTCTCACTCTGAACATAGACACTGAAAAATAAAACTAGAGATTTCATTCGATAAGGAAGATAAAATAATGGGAATTATTTACTTGAAAGGGTAAGAAACTAGAGTTTTCATTCAGTAAGATAAAATAATGGGAATTATTTACTTGAAAGGGTGAGTGGGCTTGCAGTACAAAAGCTGCATGTTTAATATTGCAGATTTTTCTTGAAAATTAAACGCTTTTGCCTTCCAGGAAATCCTTCCATCCATCAACTTCCTGGCTAGGAAACGTCCTTGTACTTCTGTCATGGCAACCTTTCTGAGCATCAGAGGATTCTGGGACAAATCTGAGGCCAGGCCCAAACTTCCCCCAGTCCATTCTCACTGTCCCCCTTCAGGAAGTGGGTGACTTCTCGGGCTGGCGGGCATGTTTTGCAGGTCCGAAGTCCTCGCGTCATCTCCGGGTCAAAGGCAACAAGGCCAAGAGGAAAGCCTCCGCTGGGCCACGCTGCCCACTTGGCACGGACACTCAGAGCGGCCCAAAAACATTTGAGGGGGCTGCTAGACCACTCTCCAACTGCCCAAAGTCTGTGGGAATGGGGCAGTATATAAATACTAAGATAAAATAATAAAATGATAATAAAAAATAAATAAAATAAAATAAATCCTCTGGGGACATGCTCTGCCAGTGCCCAAAGTCTGTGGGAATGGGGCAGTATATAAATACTAAGATAAAATAATAAAATGATAATAAAAATAAAATAAAATAAAATAAATCCTCTGGGGACATGCTCTGCAAGTGCCCAAAGTCTGTGGGAATGGGGCAGTATATAAATACTAAGGTAAAATAATAATAAAATAAAATAAAATAAAATAAAATAAAATAAATCCTCTGGGGACATGCTGTGCCAGTACAAGACTTCTCCTTGAGGAATCCCTGACCGTCACATGCTGCAGCGATTTGTGTCAAGCCACAGCTTCTGAAGCAAGGGAAAACGGTCTTTGTTTTCAGACCCTGCGCCTGTGTCCAAAGAGGCATCCTCCTTTTGTGGGGAGCAGCAAGGCAACGGTGCTTGCCGTCTGTTGCTGTTTGATTACGACACCCATCAATCCTAGCCCCTGGTTATGCTGGCTGGGACTGATGGGTGTCTGGAGTGCCAAAGCACTGGGAGAGCCATGGGTTCCCCGTCCCTGGCATACAGGATCAAGCAGCTGGAAGGGTCTTCGAGGGTCATCCGCATCTATCCCTCTCCAGGACGGGAAATTGACTGTGACGGAGGGCTGGGCGCAATTTTGCCCTGCTAACAAAAGGCAGTCCGCCATCTTCCCAGGGGGTCTCTTGCCCCACTGTCTAAAACTTTCTGTGTTATCAAGAAGTTCTTCGTAAGGTCTAGGCTAGCTTTTAGGAGCCAAAACAAACAAGTCCTTCCAAATACTTGGAATTGTATCCAAGTATTTGTATTAAAAGTAGAGATATTCATCAAAAGCTTACTGTCCTGTTAAACTGGGGCACCAACAGTGTTTTCTTTTATTCCGTTAATCTACCCAATTAAATGCGGTGGTTCTGGATGCGCTCTTACCATTTCTGTTAGGGTTTGTTTGATTGGTTGTATTTACAGCCCACCATTTTGCCTTTCAAGGAATTCAAGGCAGCTTATAGAATTCTCTTTTTCTCTGTCCTGCCCTTGTAACAACAACCCTGGGAGGTAGGCTGTGCCGAGAGTCGGTGACTGGTCTAAGTTCGCCCCATGAGTTTCATGGCTGAGTGGGGACTCAGTCCTGGATCTCACGGATCCCCCGCTCAGCCCCGTCCCCATCACACCACCCTGCCCTCCCCCATCCCCTCAGCCCCCAGATGGCTCCCTTCCCGCCCCGCAGGGAGCTCACATCGTAGTCGATCCCTTTGTGGTTGAGCGCGATGTTGATGGTGAACGTGGAGGAATCGTGATGCGGCCGGAGGGCGGGCTGCTCATCCGGACGGTACCGGACCATGAAGTTCATGATGGCGCGAGCCTGAGAAACGGAAGCGTGTCAGCACCGCTCCGTGGAAATGCGGGCGAGTGTGGCAAAGGGCGCCTGAAAGCGCCACCACTGACTGCCTCTTGCCCATCCTGGCTTGCCCCGCGGGCCTGTGCGTTCCCTCGTGCAGCGATGGCGAAGCTCTGAGAGACCGAGTGCCCAGAACCCTCCTATTCATTGCAAAGTGCCAACATGGCAACAAAACCTGCAAACTGAGGTTTTAGTTTAGAAAAAACAACTCACAGCCGGTCCTTCGCAGCGCACTGACTGGCCATGCGAAAGCTCGGACGAGTCGCGGCTCATGATGTCATCGCCTGGCACCGCTACTCCTTTCCGAGCATGCGCATGGCCCCTGTGTGCGCCGTTATCCGATGCTCGGCTGCTGGGGCGATGCTGGGGCGACTTGGCTCTGCATGCCCGCTATGGCATGCGTGCCACAGGTTCGCCACCACTGCCCTGGTAGATCCAAGAGGATCTTCTGGTGTTCTTGCACCAACCTCTCCCCCACCCCAGTAAAAACCCGGTCTATAAAATCCATGACAATGGGAAAAAAAAACAGGTTGTTGCAGAATCGACAGACTGGGTTTCTGAGAATCTAAATTCACAGAATCCGTGTCTGATTCCTCTGACATTTCTGTCTCCTCTTGGGCCTTGGCAATACCAGGGGACACCCTGATGCTCAGCTGGCAGCTGGGACAACCTTCAAGCATCCCACAATGCACCAGCACTGTTGCTCCAGAACACTGTTGGAGTTAATTGGACAGCTGTAGTGAACCTATTGTAAAGGGCCATCTGGTAGGTGCAGATTAGTGGGATGGTGTAAATTGGTGTCCTGCAAGAGCAGGGGGTTGGACTCCATGTCCTTCATGGCCCCTTCCAACTCCACTATTTTAAGATTCTGAGTTAAGATTTTCCTCTATGCAAATAGTTTTTGTAAACTAGAGCTCTTTTTTGCCTCTGCCCTCCTCTGCGCTTGCTTTCTTATCATGACCTTCCAATGGGCAGTGTCCAAGGCACTTTACAGAACTTCCCCTCCATCAATGATAACTCCAGCACCCTATGGATGCGGCCTTCCAGACTACTGATGTGCCATGAAGGACAGACACATACATGGGCAGATGGGCCGGAAAGAAATTTTGTAGGCTAGCTGCTTTTCACGCTAAATCATGAGAACTAGTCACTTAACAAAACTTTTCAGGGTGGTGGGAAGAGGAGAATGCAGTCCCCCCTTCGTTAGGAATAGATACTTAATTCTGGCTCCTCCTGCCTGCGACCAACTTCTCTGATCCCTCTGTTGTGATGCTTCAGGAGACGAGCTGCCGCTGCTGTTTCCCCACGTCTCAGCAACTGGTACCTTGGTGTAATAGCCAGGATACAGCTTCTCTGTGACAGGCGCGATATATTCCCGCAAGAACTGCAGCCATTCCTTCTCGAAATCGATCTGGTTCATGTGGATATCAACAGTAGGGACATTCTCGTAGCCGCCAGCCAGTCGGGAATCCTAGCGCAGGCAGATGCAGAGGGAGGGGACACCATGAGACCATCCAGTCCAGCCCCCACCCTGCTTCCACCGATCCACCAAGAAGGTCCAGGCCACAGGGCACCCCAAGTAAAGGAAAAAGCAGAACATCTGGAGGTGACTTGGAAATAAATCGACTCCTCTCTCAGAGAGAGGAAGGGATTTCCGTGTGGCATTCCGATGTTCAAAAGTGGCACATCCACACGGCCAGAAGTCTGGGCGCAGCTGGCCTTTGGTCAAGGCACACTGCAGTCCTGCAGCATGCCGTACAGATCAGTCGGGCGAAGACCACAAAACAGGCTTGGAATTCTTTCTGGCTTTGGAAGCCATTTTCCCTGGCATCTAGCCTTCCTGGGACTGCACCCCAATGGGGTTGCCTCCCCCACACTTAAAATGGGGAGGGTCAAAACAAACCTGAGCAGGGCCACCTTTCCATGCGCATGTCTCCTCTTCTCCGGGAAGAATCAGGGTTTTGCAGCGATGGAAGACTTCCAAATGCGCCCAGTGCAAGGGGAAGAAGTCCCCGCTTACAGCCCCCTCCCTAAGTTGCTCCCCTACTCTGCAATTAGGCTTAAAAATATTTTCCACTGGTGCCAACAAAAGGATTTTTCCAGCCTTATCACGGCTCAGGGAGAGGGGAGGCAAAACCCCCCAACTGGCTGAGGTGACCCAGCTGACCACCGGTTCCCCCACCCTGTCCTGAATCCAATTCCCCCACATGACAGTTGTGCAAAAGAGGAAAAATGGTGCCACCGCTAGCAGGACCCTGCAAAACCAGCAGGAGAAGCCAGGAAAGAGGAAAGGAGGTGATCTATTCAGGGTAACTTTTCCCCCCTTCTTCTCAAGTTTCACGTTCTTGCGAAGCGAGGGTCCCTCATGCTGGTTCTGGGAGATGTGGCAGGCTGGTCCTAGAGATTCTGGGTGAGAGAGATGACACTCTCCACCCAGGAGGACAGAAACCATGACGGACAACCGCCTTACGAGTCAGCAGGTCCCACGTTGGTCACACGCGTGCCGAAGGACGGGAGAACGTGCCCATGTGGCGCTCTTACCTCGTGCTTGCCCCCGGACCACTGGCCAAAGTGTTCCACTTGCTCAACCAGTTCGTCACACATCTGGTCACTGAACACCGGGAACCAGTAAACGTCGGGACAGGGCTGCCGATAGGGAGAAGGGATCACATGAGAGGAAAGACCAAGCCGGAGGAAAGAATTCTGCACCGTGACGGATTGCAAGAGAGGGGCAGTTACCTGCTCGAACTGTTCCCCCTCCAGCACTTGCGAGTAGTTCTCGTGGATGTACTTGTCTTGCCAGTCCTAATTGAAGAGGGGGAACGAGCACAGAGACATTAATGGTCCCCAGAGAATTTGTTTTGGCTTTCATGGCAAGGAGCAAGTTCCTGGACTTTGTGTCTGCAGAGAAGTGCTTTGACAATGTCAGGAAAGAATATCATGTAACAGTCAACTGATTTCTAAACTTTAGAGGTCCAAGAGGGGGACCTCAGGAATTGTCCTGCCCAATTTTTGCCTCTTTGAAGAACTGTAGCACTTGGAAAGGCCAACTTCTGCCAGCTTTACAGCAGATTCTGAACACGTGTTGCACGAAAGAGAATGCAATTGTCAAGGTAAACAGAAAGCCAAAGCAACACTCAAGAGTCTTTCTTGCCCAGGCACATGGCATTCTTGGTCAGCTTCCCCCCAATTTGTCACTGGCTCTCTGGCCCAATTAGTGCTGGGTACCTGTGTAAGGGAATGTCTGTTTTAATTTCCCTTAATATGCCTATATAATATCACTCTAGGATGCTATCAGAAATGTAAAAGAAGCCTTCTCAGAAGAGACTGAATTCCCACAATGCCCTGGTTGTGGGACATTGTCATGCGGTGTCAAGGCATTCTGGGAAATTTTCATGGCGGTTTCCTCACAGTGTCATGGCTGCTGTTGCCATTACCAGGTGAGCCTTCAGCACCAGGAGGGCCCACCTGGGGCAGGTGTGTGCGGTGAGGTCACACCCTGTGCATCCTGGAAGTGCCACAGGTATAGCATTGGACAGCCACTCACCAGGGGGTTCTCCGAAATCTGCCAGAGATCCGGATGTAGACGGGATGCATTGTACCTGGCAGTGGAGAGCAGACGTCCAAATTCATCCCGGTTACTGATGTGAAGAAAGATGCCCTTGAAAGAGACGCCCAAATTTGGGTTGGAAGAGGAAGAAGCAGCTCATAAGGCCTGCATCCCCAAACCCCTACATGCGGGGGGAACCCGGAAGCACTAAAAAGCAAAGTCTCCCGTGCATTGAGACATTGCTATATTCACTCTGCCAGAGCAGAGAATTTTGTGATCTGGGGAATTCTACCTCAGTGTATTTTTTGTATTTAGTGGTAATTTATTATGTTCTATTGTATTTCAATATAGTTTATTGTGTTGTAAGCCGCCCTGAGGCTTCGGCAAGGGGCGGCATAGAAATGTAATAATAATAATAATAATAATAATAATAATAATAATAATAATAATAATAATTTGAGGGTTTTTAAAAAGGAAATATTCTACCCTTAAGATGAGGGTGACAGACTTGAAACTCTGTCTTGAGGAATTTAATCAGCGGATGAAACTCCTGAAGTAGGGAAAGGGCTCGGTGGATGTTTCAGAACACACCTTGTGTTCCTACAGGTCTGGGAGGAAAGGAAAGATTTCTCACCTTCTCCCGCACGCTCTTGCAGAAGGCCATATCCGGGTCAGTACTGTCCAAGGTGAAAACGCTGCGCTGGGACAGCTCACGGCGTAACGTCTCCCCTCGCAGCAGGTAGGCCTGCGAGATGTACGGGACATTCCACACCCCGCTGCCGCGGAGAAAGGAGATGGGAGAATTTTTAGGGCCGAAAGGAGGGGAGTCTAGAGCAAACCGTCCTCCCCACTCATGCCCCACCACGGCAGCTTACATTCTCTTGCCTTGCACCAGCTCCACATAATCCTCCGAGCGAGCATAATAGTCATCGGGGCTCAGGGCTCCCCAAAAGTTGGACCAAAGTTTGCCATGGCGGGACATCATGGGAGCGATCACATTCCTGAATTGCGGGGGAGAAGAGAAACACCAGAATTGAAAGGAGCAAAGACGGCCAGGCCAGGGCAGTGGTCAGCGTGTCAGACTGGAGCTCTGGGTCCCTACTCAGCCATGAAGTTCACGGGGTGATTTTGTACTTCACAGGTTCGTTGTGAAGATAAAATTGAGAGGAAGGGGGGTCATGAAAGCTGCCTTAGGTTCCTTGAAAGGTGGAATATAAATACGCATCGATGAAAAGGGGGATCAGGAAGGAGACATTCTTGCAACTGATCTGCTGTGCTAGGGAGGTGGAGGAAGCGAAGAAGAAGGTCTCACTTGTTCTCCTGGATGAGAATCTGGAGGATCTCCGGGTTGGTCACCACCACATCGGCATCCAGGCTGAAGTAGTAGTCACAGGCTGGGTCCTGCCGACACAGATCCCTGTGGCAGGGGAAAATGGGTGTTCAGAGATCCATGCGGTGCATCCTAATACCCGGGAGTCCCTTTCCTTTCTTCCTACATCAGCTTCCGTTCCCATTTCTGCCTACAGTGACTTGGCTTCGCAAGGGGCAGAGACAGGGAGCGGCGAGAAGGTCGGCGGAAGCATCAGGGACGTGGCTGGCTGCGGATGGGCATGGGGACACGACTTCACAAAAGTACCCGATCTTCCTACAAGCCTTGATTTCTTCCACACTTCAGAGGCCGGGGTAAGAGGTTTCCCTCTCTTCCACCCAAGGCAGAACCCATCGCGTTTTGCATCACCTTTCCACAGCTTGGCACCTCTGGACATGTTGGACTACAGCTTCCAGCATCCCCTAGCCATGATGCAGATAGAACCCAAGGCAAGGAAAGGAGAGGTCCCTGTGTAATCATGACCACCTTAAGCCAGCTCATGACCCTGCCGACAAAAGTACGTATAGTCAGGGCTATGGTTTTCCCAGTTGCAATGTATGGCTGTGAAAGCTGGACCATAAGGAAGGCTGAGCGCCAAAGGATTGAGGCCTTTGAATTGTGGTGCTGGAGGAGACTCCTGTGAGTCCCTTGGACCGCAAGGTGATCAAACCGGTCAGTCCTAGAGGAGATCAACCCTGACTGCTCTTTAGAAGGCCAGATACTGAAGATGAAACTCAAATACTTTGGCCACCTAATGAGAAGGAAGGACTCCCCGGAGAAGAGCCTGATGCTGGAAACAATTGAGGGCAAAAGGAGAAGGGGACGGCAGAAGATGAGGTGGCTGGATGGAGTCACTGAAGCAGTGGGTGTGAGCCTAGGTGGACTCCAGGGGATGGTGGAGGACAGGAAGGCCTGGAGGAATGTTGTCCATGGGGTCACAACTAACAACAACAACAAAACCAGCTCAGGGGTACAGAGATCAATATCACTCAGCAGGACTTTCAAATAGCAGGTCCTTGCATGTCTACTCACAAGCAAACAGGTCTCCTGCCTGCAAAATACACAACTTATTTCTTTTCCAGACAGCTGGATCCTTTTGCAGGTACTTCAAGTTTAATTTGCTTTTAAATAACCTTTTAGCTGTATCAGTGACAGTAGAGATCGGATTTGAACAGGGACATTTCTGGGGAACAGTTCATTTTTGTAACTGCCGGGGTGGTTCTCCGCAGAGGCAATGAAAGCTGCACCTGTTGCGTTTCTGCCCATCACACACCTGTTAGGAATGGGAGGCCTTTGCCAGAGGGGCTGTGGGGAGAGCACAAAGTTGGCACTTTGGCCAACGGGGCCTCGTTTTCCTCCACGGGTCCACCGGCACCTTCGGGCGCCGCTTCGCCTCTTCCGCCCGCCTCATCCAACCTTTCCGCATTTACTTACATGCCCATATCTCTCGCCTCCCCCTCGCTCAGCTCCTCCTCGGGGCCCACGAGCTTGATGCTGCTGAAGGCCTCGCGCAGATTCTCCCACTCTGCTTGGATGTGCAGCTCGTGATAGACCTCCTGGGGAAAGAGCGAGATGCATCACCCTCCCGAGAAGCCGCGGAGAAGCCAGACCCCGACATGGGGCAGCATCTCTGGACGCTTAGCAAGGGGCTGCAAAGTGCCGGAGAGACAAAGCCCCGCAAGAGCTGGATTCAGCTTCTCTCTCGTGTGTGCGGTGTAGCGGCCATGGGGTTAGACCAGGACTTGGGAGATCCAGTTTCCAGTCCCTGCTCAACTCTGAAGCTCACGGAGTGTCTCTGGGCCACTCACCAACTCCCAGATGAATCACAGGGTTGTTGGGAGGGTAAAAATGCAGAGGAGAATCCCCACCAAGAGGGGACATGACAGGCAATAATTACAGTAATAAATACGATAAACAGGCAATGCTCAAATTATTGGGGAGGCGAGTAGGAATGGATGAAGCTCCACTCCTGATTTCCCTCAATACTTTTTTTTATTTCTGTACTGGGCAAATGGCTGAGAGGGAATTCATAGGGTTGGCACCAGGAGGGCCTCACTGGAGAGACTGTCCCATAACTGGGGGGCTGCCACAAAGCAGGCCCTTCTCCTTGTCGCCCCCAACCAAACCTCCCTTGAAAGTGGTGTCTGCGGGAAGGCCTCCCGCGTGCGCTCACTGTGAAATGGGTTTGGAGAGGGGTTAAGTATTGGAGTCCCCAGCCAAATCACCCCCCCCCCGGTGGTGCCCTTTGTAAAAGCAGTGGTCAAGAGAGCAAATGCAAGGGGACCCTCCCTGCCCTCTGGCCTGCCCACGATTCAGCATTTTCTTACACCATATAATTCCTTTCCATGGCTTTTAAGTACTCTGCATGTAGCTTTTAGAGGAGTAAAAATCCACTTCCAAATCTTAAATCCAAGTTGCTTTAATCTTAATGTTTTTAAATTAAGATCTCCCTGTTTTAAATTATTTGTCGTCCAGTCATTGTATTCTTTCACTTTGCCCTTGTGCACGTCTGCAAACAGAACTATTTTGTGCTTTTTACATGAAATGGGAGTCACAGATTTAAATGCTGGAGGCCCTTTTAGGGCAACTATCTACGTTGTCTGAATATGTCTCTGTATTTAGTATTTCCTAGAAACAACACGGGGAAAAACTGGTGCCTACGTACTCTTGACCTCTTAGCAGGCTCTACACCAAAATTCTGTATTCCCAAACGCAACTGGGGTCATCAGTTTAAAGTGCCTGTGCTTTAGAGGCAGTTTCTGGCATCTTGGTGCCTCCCCGAATGGGTTCGATCACAGTGCCTACCACCCCCAGACAAATGGGAACATGCTGGCAGGGAATGATGGCCACTGTAGTCAGATCCAGCCTGATTTAGGGGCACAACTCACGTGGTTGTGGATGAAGAGGCTGATCTGTGAGTAAGGGTAATCCAAGGTCACGAGGCGGCGGAGAAACTCGGGGAAAAAGGGGGTCGGTTGCTCAATGAAGACACCCAGCAGGACTCGTGGGTAGCTTGACTCCTGCAAAGAGGTGGGGACAGAGGAAACCTGAGCACGCTTCCCTAAACCGTTTGCATATCCCCCCACCCAAAGTGCAAGATCCCCACCCACCCATCTCCTTCAGTACCAGGACATCTAACTTCTTTTGGCTCAGGGATCAAACTCCATTTTGGGGACGTTCCAAGGTGGTGGAGGAACCAGAGGCAAAAACCCCCAAAATGCCAGGGTACTGTAGCTTCAAGTTCTCACAGCCAGTAAGTCAGTCTTTGGAGGAGTATTTCAACCGTTTGGCATGGCAGACAATGATGGAAAAGCCACTACAACGGCGAAACAGGAGCAGGGCCTTCTGGGAAACCCCAAGGGACTCTGGGAGATTCCATCCTCAGATCTGAGCTTCTGTGCCTCTGCTCAAAGAACTTGCCCCCATCTCCAGCTTCTCCCATCCTTATTCGGCCACTGACTCACCGGCACGTCTGTCAGATCCAGAAGGCCTTCATCACACACCTCACAGCCCCCCTCGTACGTCCACGCGTTGGGGATGTAGTTTCCCAGGTAGTTCAGCTGCAACTGCAGAGACAGAAGAAGAAATGCAGGTGGCGAAGGCGAAAAGGAGCTTGCTTGCCCCAGGGTATCCCCAACGGGGGATTTTTCTCACGGCTTTTGTCACCACCAGCCAAATGGCAACCATCACTTTCTAAAAACTGAACTGAGCTAGAAGCCCTTGGAGCGGAGCGAATTTGCCAGGTTATTGGAAAAGACGGTCACCCGGTTTTACTACTAAGTCCCAAGACAAATTCTATCCAGCACTGATGTCCCACGTTTCCCAGATATAAATGCCCGATTGCAGTGGGACGGGAAGAGTTTACCTTGGTAGGTCCGTTCCCATGGATGACAACTGGCATGGTGTCGTAAGCAACGTTCCGGGCACGCACTCGGGTCTTCTCGAATTTCAGAACGACCTCGTCTGTTAAACGAGGAGCAGTCAGGATAGAAGAAAAGCATGGATCCAATGCATCATCCTGACCTCATTCCTTCTGACCTAGGAATCACAGCTGTGGGGGAACGGAACCCTTTCGTTTCCTACCCCCTTGCAAGTTTATGATTCTACTAAGGAGACATCCACTGCATGGTGGCCCTCGTAATCTGCAGCTTGCCTCTCTTTTGAGCTGGGATCTTCAAAAACATTAGGGAAACCTGCTTGCTCGTGGCCTAGAGAGCTTCTGACTCAAAGGGGGCACAGAAATACTTTTAGTAAAAATAAAAGAAACTTGGCTGCTTTTACAATAGTCCTCTGCACCGAGAAAGCCCTGCTGTTTCTCTAGGTGGGAGGTGCTGAATTTTGGCGACTAAGTTCCATGCAAAGGACAGTTCCTAAAGCTCAGCTGTCTGGCTCTGCTTCCCCCAGTATGGGTGCGTTTGCTTGCACGCCACCGGAAGTGACGAGAGCACCGATCACTCACCGATGGCACCATTGAGGTTCTGGAAGATTTTTGACTTGTGATCGAGGGTGATCCCGTGTTTCTCCTAGGGAGACAGCAAGGAAGAGCCCAGAGGAGAAAATTACTTTACGCAACAGGTCCTTCCACCAGCATCCCCAGTGCACAATTATAATTCCGTTGAGCAGAAAAGCAGTGTTACATTATCTTCTCCATCAATGAACCAGCTCGCATTTCGCAAGCCAAGAGTCCATGCTTGGCTGCCGTGGCAAATCTTCCCCAAGACCGAAAAGCATCACTCTTGTGGTCCAGAGGTCCTTTCTGTTTTGTTTGCTTAGTATTGAATGTGACAATAAAATAGGCTCCCCACTGCAAGGTTTGCGCTGGAGAGAGGCAGGTGTGCCATTTCCAGACTTCTGCAAGAATCGGCTGGATTACACATGTGTCAAGTTTCATTGGTCTACGTGTTGAGAATCAGGGTGCTGTGAAGAAGGCCCAGGCAGCGGGAATTGCAGAGAATGGGGGGAATAAGGATCCGTGCTGCTCCTCTCTCACTGTACTCACCCGCAAGGCAGAGTCCAAGTAGATGCGTGTGTAGAAGAGCTGGTCGTCGTCGTCATCCTTGTACTTCCACAACTGCACAATCTGATGGATGGTGGGGGCATAACCAATGAATCCTGCAAGACAGAGAGACCGACCATTGGGGGACTCTGGGGAAATGGAGTATTCCGGCCACCTCTTACTGTCTTGAGGACTAGAAACTTTTCTGTTGCTCAGTTAATGAAAGCAGGAATTCATTGGGATTCTGTGCTCACTGGACACCAAATCTGCTGATGGAATGGGGCAGCCTTCAAAAAGATTGGCACAGCTTGCTCAAAAATACACTGGCCCAGTAGACTCGCTGGGTTATTACTAATGGGGGAGGGACTTTTTAATGCTGCCCTGAACGCTGCACATCTAGAAGAACTTTAGAAGAGTCCAGAGTGGCTGAAGAGGAGGCCACGACCCCATTCACCCGATCACTAGGTTCCAGGGCTCTCTGTATTCTTCACACCTGCTGGCTTGCTATGCAGACCCATAACCTGGCAGCTAGCATTTTATTTATTTTTTATTTATATCCTGCCTTTTTCCTACAAAGGGCTCAAGGCAGCTTACATGTCTTCATCCATCTTATCCCCACAACAACAACCCTGTGAGGTAGGTTGGGCTGAGAGTCTGTGACTGGCCCAAGGTCACCCAGTTGGCTCCATGGCTGAGCGGGGACTAGAACCCAGATCGCCCGAGTCCCAGTCCCATGCTCTTAACCACTACACCACACTGGCTCTCCAGGTACCAGCATCAAATCTGGTACCTGGAGAATACTGGTTCCTATGCTTTACCCCACAAGCTTCTAGTCCATATGGTTGCTACTACACACTTGACAGGTATGAACAGTAAAGAGATGGAAACTAGCCAGAAAGGAGCACCAACAGTACCCCTCATGCACAAAGTGGGGGTCTTTTCTTCCATGCCCCTAGGATGCTCCTTCCTCCACCCCAACAGCCATTGGGTCTAGGCCCAACACTCCGTTATTCTTTGCACCCCCACCGTCACTTCCAAAATAGCTTCCATGCTGTTTTGAAACCTGTCGTGTGCCATAAAAAGTACGCAAAACCCGAGCACACATTCAGATCATGAACTCCCACAGCAGAATCTGAGTTTTTCTGGGGCAGATTATGCATAATTCAAATCAGCACAATACATGTCGTTATCTGGGCAGGTTACAACCAGTTTGGAAGTAAAAAGCCATTTTAAAACACCATTCACTGGTTTGATTTATTATTGCATTTATATCCCACCTTTTTTTCTTCCAAGGAAACAAAGGTGGCTTATATGATCCCCCTCCTTCCTATTTATCCTCAAAACAACCCTGCAAGGTAGTCTAGGCTGAAGGTCAGAGATTGACCCAAAGTCAGCCAGGGAGTTTCATGGTGAGTCAGGACTAAACTCCAAACTCCTGAGTCTCAGCCCAACACTCAAACCACCATACCACACTGGCTCACAGTTAGAAATATAAAATACAAATATTTAAAAGAATAACAATGCAATATAATAAAAATAGGGGGTCAATAAGCAGTCACTGTAACTTTGAACTAGATCTCCAAAATGCCTGGGGGAATAGAAAAGTTTTTGCCTGACACAGAAAGACAACAATGTACACACCACACAAACGTCAAAGAGTTTATTCCATGAATGGGATGCTGGCACCAAGAAAGCCCTCTTCCTTTTGGCTTCCTTTGGAGGAGGTACCTATAAAAGGACTCCTGAAGATGTCCAAGCAGACACAGATAGGAGGAGAAATGCTTTTAGCTACTCTGAAATGTCCTCAGAATTTCTTTCCAGCCCTCGATGCAACGAGCTGCTTACCTCCAGAATTCAGAAAACGCTTGCCCACGGACACCGGCGGGTACTTCTCAGCCAGTGACCACTCCGGCCAGCAGAAGCTTTCTGCTGAGAAAACCAGTTTGCTCTTGAACCGCAGGAACTTCCAGAGAAGCTCGATGGGACTTCCTGCCAGGATCACGTCGTAGCTGAGAATGGAAGAAGACAAGTTCTGGGCACGTGCACAAAACAACATTCCATTCCGACTGGACAAACTACATCCAGCCTGGCTTCAGTCCATCTCTGCCATCCTTTTCTGCGGTCCTTGATCCCTGATGCTGAATTTCAGCAGCAGATCTAGGTGTGGAGAACTGTTCTCTAGGACTCTGGAAGGAAGGGCGTCCTTATATATTCAGCAGTCAGATTTCTGTTTCATCACGCCTTTCCACGTCCCTGTGATTTCTCCAAGGGGCGCCAGAGGGGGACAGCTGTGCATAAAATCATGCTCTTTTGTCAGGCTCAAGAGGCTGCCCATTGATTTTCGAGAATAGGTTGCTGAGTGCAGAAATCTTAATACAGACCTATTGATTTATACCAATATTTATATACTGCTTAATATAACAAGTGGCTGGGGATCTTCCCAGGCCACACTAGGTAGAAACAGCTGGAAGGGTGAAAAAATGCCTGACCTGCATCACCTCTGCATTGAGAACAGTATTTATCAAGACAAGCATCAGTCTGTCAGCCACTTCCCTTGTGCCTTGCACTTCCTGTCCTGCACCCCGACACCCAGAAGGAAAGATCTTGGCCTCCCAATCATGCACTGATTTGAAATAGAGCAGTGCCAACCTCAGAACATTCACTTGCAGCCTGCACCGTTCAAAATATTATTTCCACATCCCACCTGTTCAGAATGTTACACACCAGGCAGATAAAAAAGAAAAAAACATTTAAATCTAATCATCACAACAACCCTGCAAGGGTTACCATCATACCCAGTCTACTGTCATGTTACTGAGGGAGGCACAGAGAAACTGGCCCATAAGAAAGTCAAGTCAGGATGCTGGTAATATACGCCCTGGGCTTGATATTGCGACCAGCCTTCCAGCTTTGTGGAAGCAGCCAAACTCCAGGAAGCGCGGCATTTCCAGTGACCCCAAATGCGGCCTTATCAGTCTCCCGGCATTGCTTTTCCCCGCTACGGTTCCAGGCTAATGTTCCTGAGCCCACCTGTCCACAAACATGATGATCATGTCCTCCTGGTTCGCAAATTTCTTCATTTCGGCCTTCAGCCAACGGACCTTCTGACCTCCACCCACCGTCCGGGCAACATCTCCTCCCTTCCAGTCTTCACCCAGGCCAAGAGTCTTGGGAAATACCACAGTCGGCAAGTAAGACAAAGCTAGAAATGCATCATTTCCCTTTTAGAAGCAAAACCCTTTCCCCACCCAGCATGATTCAGATGGGTTCCTACTGGGCCCCATCTGGGTCCAACCGTCTTCTAGAAAGCAGGAAGGAGGAATCCGTGGTGTGCCAGCCACCAAAGGAAGGCCCAAAGAGCAATCTGCCTGCTGTGGTGACTCAACCCCGCTGCTCTTAACACGGACGATTTAACTTGAGCTAAAGTCCTGCATTTAGCAGGGGGTTGGTCCCAACAGCCTTCTCTGCCCTTCCCAGATGAATAATATCCTGAGACTGCATTGCTGATTCTATCATATCCATTTTTTAATCTCATGTGCCACCTGCAGAGGGGTCCACCCTTGAAGACTGTCTACAAACAATTTTAGATATATTTTTAAAGACATTTCTAAGAGACATCCCAACAAAATAGTATTGAGCCATCATGGAATACCGTGTAAAACTTGGCAGAGGAAACATGCAGGACAAGATTGCCGCTTAGGGAAAGCTTGTCAGACCTATGTGGCTTTGGGAGGTACCCAAAAACCGGAAAAGGGCCCCACGGATTTGCAGTGGTAGGGAGTGGGCGCCGTGATGCAAGAAGCCCTGTTCTCAGCTATTGCGGAGTGGCTCCCCGGTATTCCAGGCTGAACCAGGGCGGTCTCCCCTGATGCAGGCAGCAATTGGGCGGGCAGAGACTGGGGTGAGGGGAGCTCAGATTTTCTTGAAGATGAGAAACTGTCTCACCTTCACGGTGTAATTGAAGTATTTGGCAGTCCGCATGAAGCGCTGATACCCCTCCGTCTCCTCCGTGGCTGCCGTCAGGACCAAGAGTTTGCCTGAAGAGGAAACATACACACACAAGCCCGAACAGGTCAAAGAAAGGAAGCTAAAACTTCGTCAGGGGAAGATCTACATGGCCCTGTTTCCAGGCACACAGGACTACAAAAACCTACTGCTCCTGGGCACCAAGCTTCTTAAAATTTTTTGGCAGCTGCTGAAGAATGCCGAGCATTTTCCAACTGTTCCAGAAGCTGGTGCCTAGAAAGCAGATGATGGCACCAAATCATTTGCCGTTTTTATTTTTCCGACACTCAGGATTTAAGGTTTCGGGATGTGTCCTGCCAAGGACAATTTCACAAGGGCTCTTTTATGCAGGAAAATGTGCAGGAGTTTCTTACTGTTCAATCCTTCTCCCAGGTTTGTATAACTCCCTTTTATCTTTGCAATAACCCTGCGAGGTAGGCTAGGATAAGGGATGGCTGAGGCAACCCACAGAGTTTTGTGACCAAGTAGAATCTGAACCTGGATCTAAGTCCAATTTTGCACTCCAGCCTTTCCTGACCATGTGCTTCTGGATGTGCTGGACTACAGTTCCCATCAACCTCAACCCGCATGGACTAGCCTCTGCCAAACATCTGTCCACAACCTGTAGCAAACATATGGAGCATTAGAAATGGTCTTCGGAGTTCCTGGGCTAAGGACCAAGTTACACATTTGATAAAGATGTTTGGGGAAAATGTACTTAAACTGGTCACTTATTTTAGAGTAAAAGAAACCATGGAGCTTTGATCTGTACCCCCTTTGATCTGGTGGTGGGGAAAAAGGAGAGATTCTCAGCAGAAAACCCTGGCCAGGTTTGGGGGCACAGAGTGTGGCATTTTCTTCATTAGTTTTGAACATGCGTAAAGCAAATATCTTTCCTGTAGCATGAAGTTTGGCACTTAATTATCCAGCTTACTCCCCAGAATACTCAGGTCCAGGTTTTGCTCCAGTTGCATTCTGTGTACAAGATGACAAAAGCCTTCACCCAAACACCTCCTTCCAACTTTCATGCGATCCCGTATCGTGCTTTGCAGTGGGGGCTGTCACATTCCTAGCGATTAGCCGATTGAGAGATGTTCCTTTGTCCCCGGAGCAACCAGCCGCTGCAGGGGTTTAAAAGGAAAGCCCTCTATTCTGTATTGGGGGAGGGGGCCTAGGAAGGCAAAGGGGGCCCAGAGGAGAGCAGGGGGAGAATGGAGGAGGTAAGCCTGGACTACCTGGGCCTCTGTTGACGCAGGAAAACGCTTTGCAGAGTGTTTTACTTGGATCTGGATTATTCCGCACCTGAGCCTGGAACTGCACGTTCTCCTAGGTACCCAGTGCAAGAACGTTGTGCAGGCAAGGAAGGGATCCAAAAACAACACCCACATCATTAAGAGCAACAGACGTGAGATGTGAGATGTTCGTTCTCACTCATTCACGCACTGTTTGGCTTAGGGCTGGACCATCTGCTTGTGCCAAAGTTTTTGGATGGCCAAAGAATGAGCAGGTCTCTGTAGAACAGCTTTCCTCAATTTGGAGTGCTTCCAGACTTGTTGGACTACAAATCCCAGCATCCCCCACCCAGCATTTGGGAGATTCTGGGATTTGCAGTCAAACCCATCTGAAGGGCTCCAAGTCAGGGAAGGCTATTATAAACCATTAACTTTATCAGAAGGACAATCACAGGAATACTTGAAAATATAACCATCCGCTGCTTGGCTATTTAGATGCCGTGTTTCCACTGGATCTGCCCGCCTTTCCAATAAGGATAATGATAAAGATTATATCTGAAGCAGGAAAAGAACAAAATAATAGCAACAGTGGGGAAAAACAGGTAAGTTAGGCTAATTAAAAGGCAGTGTCTGCCTGGGTTTTTTCCCCCAGTTCTGCATCAAGAGTGGAATCCCATGCATGAGTGCTCAAAAGTGCTCCCAGGAAATTTGACGAAAGATCGCAGCCCAAATTCATTTCAGCCCTCATGGATGGAGGGTCAGCCAGCAAGCAACCCAGTCCTTTAGTTCCCCCAATTCCCAGTGCCCTCATCGTATCCTGCCAACCGCAGTGGTATCCTTGGTGTCAATTTCTAACAGTATTTAGAAACACAGAAACAGAGTGAGTCAGAAGGGGCCTCCTGGGCTATCTAGTCTGACCCCCGGGCTCCAGCCGGCTCTGCTCATGACGTGCCCACCATGTACATGTCCAGCCTATCCTTGAACACCCTCACTGATGGGGCTTCAACCACCTCCCATGGAAGCCCATTCCACACCCTCGGGGTCCTAACCATCAGGAAGTACTTCCTGACATCCAAACGGAACCTTGGTTCCCTGAGCTTTGCTCCATGGGAACGCATCCTGCCCTCCACCGCAGGAGGAAACAGGTCACAACCCACCTCTGCGTGACACCCCCTCATGTACCTGTATGTCACTAACAGTTCTCCTCGGAGTCTCCTCTTCTCCAGGCTGAAAAGACCCAGCTCCCTCAGTCTCAGCTCACATGGCTTTCCCTGAAATCTGTCCTCCCTCCCAGTTGCCCTATGGTGCAGTGTACGGCCACAAAGATGGTGGCTGGACTGCAGTCAAGATAATGGCCTTGGGCCAATGAGTTGACCAGCATCCCAACGGTCTCCAGCCTCCACGAGGAGATGTGTGTGAATGCCCTGGATTTCTGGGGAATACAGACTGTTTCTTCTCATGTGCATGGGGGTGGACAGATTCTCCGGCAGGGAAGGGGGAGGTCCATGCAGCTGCGGGCTTGGCTGAACATCCCTAATTCTGCTGGGAGCGCTCGCTCTTCCATTCTCATCGTGCGAGCAGCCAACACTAGCCGTGAAAAGGATGTTATTCATAAGCCCATGGGCTGGGTTTTAGGGGGCAGCCTCTGAGTCACACCACGCTTGCACTCTCGGCTCACCCAGGCAAAATGGCCACCAAGCCACCCCCTTGCTTTGTACCCATGATCTCTCTGGGGAGAAATTCAGTTCTAGCCTTTGCTCATACAGTGGTGTGGCCAAGCCTGGATGCTAGGCCTGAATCTGGTTCCCAGAGCCCCGGGTGCCAAGAGAAGGTTTGTTCTTAACTGCCACGCAGGGGACAATGGCCAGGGGAAATCACGGCTGGGGATGGAAGGGTTAACTCTACCCTCTCCATGTACTGCAACATTGCCTCCTGCCTCCCAAACATCACAAATAGACATTGGCACAAATTATGTCCAGCGAGGGCTGTATCCCAAAACTCTATAGGACCTAGCTGGAAAAAACGCAGATTCTGGTAAATTTCAAGGGCTGATGCATGGGTGCAAAGAGCCCAGAATGAGATGGCGAATCCTGAACAGATAGTGATGCCACTTGGAGGGGAACCTTTTTCGAATGTCTACATAAAAAGCTCCCAGGAGACAAAAATCGAGCCAAGAGACGTTTGCCCTTTCTGCTGTGCTACTTTGCTGCTTCTGAAAATTTAAAGAAAGCACTCCACCCTCCACCCTCAAAAGCACCTCCAGGCTGAAATGATACACTCGGTTCTTCCATCTTATCAGCTGATCTGTCTCAGAGCCAACCATCCCTCGCTCCTAGTCCAACCATCCAGCAGAGCTTAACCCCAGAGCATGGGCAGAAGTCTGCAGAGGCGGTTTTTCCGATGAGAGTCCCAGAGCTGAGCAGCTGCGCTCAGTCTCTGGATGTCAGGAATTCAAGGAAAGGGAATCCGGGGTGAAAGGTATCCTGTCGGGACGGCTTGGAGTCCTGGACACACGGCTGGCCATCCCACATTCCTCAGACTCCTTGCCACTCTTTCGTTACACCTCCTCTGAACAGCCAGCCCAGCTAAGCGGGTCCCTCTCGGCGGCAGGGTGCCGTTGGACAGGAGGCCCTCTGCTTTGTCTATTTAAACGTTTTGCTCATCCTTTTTTGGCTCTCGTGGCGGCAGCGGCGGGGCCTCCGCTTCTTCAATGAGCCCTTCAGTTGACCAGGAATGTGGTTTTGGGGGACGGCCAAGGCTGCCGCTCTGGCACAGGAAGGTGGAAGCAGAGAAGCTGAGAGCAGGCTGGGGCACCTTTGGTAATGCTAGGAGGATTTCGGCTTTTCCCCCCTGCCCTGGTCAACCAGTGGTTAGTGCAACAGGATGAGCACCATAAGATTGCCCCTAGCCACTATTATGCACCGCTACATCTTCAGACCATGAGGACTAGAAGCACATTTTTTGCTTGGTTTTTTTAAAAATGCGGTATGCTAAGATCCCTAGGGAACTAAAAAGCACATTATGTCACGTCCACCCAGAAGAGTCAGATGTGTCCCTCCCAGCAGTGCAGACTTGATGGGGCTGGAAAAGCAGCTTTCCCCGATTTCCCAGATGCTTTGAACCGCAGCTCCTAGCAATCCTGACTTTTGGGGTACCCTGGATCGGGAATGATGGGAACTGAAGTCCAACCATCTGGAGGCCGCCAGGTTGAGAAAGGCAGGGCTGCAGAAGGATTGCCTGAAAGAGGCCCATAAACCTGAAGCCAGTCTGCTGAAAGTCTCCCAACTAGGAGGCCATCTCAAGATTTGGCACGCTAGGTTGGGTGTCAGTTTCTGCCTTAAATCCAAGCTGGCTGTGACCTGCTGCAGGTTGGATTTGTCAGATACTCTGTGCTAACTGGGGAATCCTAGTATCCCAGAGTGCATTTTGCTAGCTCTGCTATAGCCCTACCTGGAGAGGGTGAACTTCACCTCAGTTATCCACATACGAGCAATGGGCTGCATATGGGACGACTTTTGAAGATCGCCCAGAAACATCAGCTGCTGCAGAATGCAGACCCCGGAGTGCCGCCCATCTTGCGCCTTCTGAACTGGTTACTGCTGCATTTCCAAGTCCAATTTAAACTCCTGGTTTTGACCTTGAACATTTGGGGACCGAATAACTTGAAAGGCTGCCTTTACCTGCATCAGGCTGCCCATGCTTTAAGGTGAGCAAGAGAAGCCCTCCTCGTCTGCCCCACCTGTCAGGGCTGTTAGGTGGATGACCACATGGAAGAGGGCCTTCTCTCCAGTGGCCCCCCA